GGGTTTAGGAAAAGGAAAAAGGGGGTCAGGAAAAGGAAAAGGGGGGTCAGGAAAAGGAAAATTTTGATCCGTGTACACTTAGCAAAATAGACGAATAGATAGATAGATAGATTGATTGATATATATCTAAATGGATAGATAGGGTGGTTACATATTAAATCCTTTTGTAAAGAACTCAATTATCTGCATTCAAATTAATTTTGCACACATTAAACAAGATGGAAGGATAAGGAGCTGGATAGGTTGGATGGTTAGATAGATAGAGAGATAGAAGGTTAGATTAGTAGATAGATATATAAATAGAAGGTTGGACTGATAGATATAGTGATAGATAGATAAATAAATTGTTTGACATATAGATAGATATAGAGAGAAGGTTGACTGATTTTATGGATATATAGATATAGACAGTTGGATACAGAAGGTTGACTGATTTTATGGATTTATAGATATAGACAGTTGGATACAGATGGTTTGATGGTTTTATGGATATATAGATATAGACAGTTGGATACAGAAGGTTTGATGGTTTTATGGATATATAGATATAGACAGTTGGATACAGAAGTTTTGATGGTTTTATGGATATATAGATATATACAGTTGGATACAGAAGGTTTGATGGTTTTATGGATGTATAGATATACACAGTTGGATATAGAAGGTTTGATGGTTTTATGGATATATAGATATAGACAGTTGGATACAGAAGGTTTGATGGTTTTATGGATATATAGATATAGACAGGTGGATAAAGGAGGTTGAATGGTTTTATGGATGGATGGTTAGTTAAATAGAAAGAAGCATAGATGACCGACCGACCGAAGATAGACATACATGGTTGGATGGTTTAATGGTTTGATTGATAGACGATTGAATGGTTGGATATATAGAAGGATGGATGTTTAAATGGATGAATGGTTTGATGGTTAGATTGATAGACGATTAGAAGGATGGATGTTTATGTGGATGAATGGTTTGATGGATGTTTAAATGAATGGATGGTTTTATGGTTAGATGGATAGATGGTTTGTTGATATTATGGATAAATATCAGGTTATCTGGTTAGAAAGATTAGTAGGCATGGTGAATGCATTTTTGAGAAACAGAAAAAACATGTTACAATAAATATCGACTGAACTATTGTCCATGATTAAACTATCAAAACAAACTGGAGAAAGTTTGCTAAAATATTTGTTAAACCATGATTACACGATGGTATTCTGCTCTGGGCAATGTAAAATGTAAAATGTTAGTTTCCAACTCCTGCAAATTGTCGGGTGTTCATAGGGTGTTAACATGGTGTTCACAGGGTGTTAACATGGTGTTCACAGGGTGTTAACATGGTGTTCATAGGGTGTTAACATGGTGTGGGTGTTAACATGGTGTTCACAGGGTGTTAACATGGTGTTCACAGGGTGTTAACATGGTGTTCACAGGGTGTTAACATGGTGTTCACAGGGTGTTAACATGGTGTTCACAGGGTGTTAACATGGTGTTCACAGGGTGTTAACATGGTGTTCACAGGGTGTTAACATGATGTTCACAGGGTGTTAACATGGTGTCCGCAGTGTGTTAACATGGTGTTCACAGGGTGTTAACATGGTGTCCACAGGGTGTTAACAGAATAAATATACAAACTACAGGGTGTTTAAATTGTAATTCAATATTATCCTGCAGGGTGGAGTATTATAGGCCGGCCAATGCATAATTAGCTCAAAAGATAAGAAAAATCTGCCAATAACCACATTTTCTACACATATTTATAATCATTGGTTTTAAGCAAACAAAAATCTTAATTTCCCCCTTTAAATTTTTTTCAAACTATTTGCATGCTAATTTTTCAAACAGGTTTTGTTTTGCAGTAAAATGTGATAGTTAAGTTGGATAATAGATCATTAATTATAGAGTTTTAGAAGAATGCATAGTTTACACTTTACAGTGTTTATTTTTATCCACAATGTTTTGATTTGCGGCAGAAGATTGGTTGTAAACAGACAGTAATCCAGATAGTTATGAAAACTATTTTCAACACCGTGCAGTGTCGACTTTTAAGGATTGACTTTTAGAAATTGACCTTTAAGGGTCGGCTTTAAAATATTTTGTTTTACCTTCCTTATACCCAAGACTTGTACTTTCAAAAGTGCTCTGTGCAACGCATTATATTTCTAGCTTTGGTGGAAAAGAAACAAAAGAAACAATTCCAATTTTAGTTCATTGTAAATACGTGTTGCATTTCTTCAATATTTTACTGATATTTAGACAACTCTGAAAGTTGATCATCAAGTTTTTAGACAGCTTCTTTTTTAAATAGTCGCAACTCCTTGGCCCTTTGCCTTACAAACCCACTTATACTTGTTTGTAGACCAAAAATTCATTTATAAAATGAAACGCACTAGCTTAAATTTCAAAAGGAGTAATTGACAAATACTGGTATATTTTTGCTCGAGAGCGTGCACAGCTTGTTTTGCAGTGATTAAATCCTTTCTTTTCATCTCAAGCTGGATTTCTTTAAAAATTTACATTCTTAAAGGAATTGAGTCTTTGCCACAAACTCTGAATTTATAATCCCTATATCTTTAGAACCAAATGTCGTACATCTTTGATATTTCAAACTTATATCATTTGATCTAACAGAATTCATAGTTTGAAATATCTAAGGTCTACGACATTGGTATCCACAGATATACGGTTTAGAAAAGCAGAGTTTGTGACAAAGACTCAATTCCTTTCAAAGTTTATACAATGTTGATATCGAGTTAAAGGGAGTGGACGGCTATGTAAGGTAATTGAACTGAGTATGCAGTGTTGTCGAAAACTTCTTTAGGATTCATTTGAGACATATTTCACTTTTTAAAGATCTGTAAATCCTGAGTTTGAGCGCAAATTCGACATTCAAAACTCCTGATTTGGGGGAGGATACGCTTTTAGAATTAGTTTTTTTTAAATTATTAAATAACGACAACGAAAAATAAAGTAAAAATTATACAGTAATCTATTTAGATGGCTAGGAACATATTTCACAAAAGAAATTTGTCAATAAATCAATGCTAAAATCGATTATTTCGTTTTCATTATTATATTGAATTTCTAATTTTCTTTGAATTTATTCGCAGATTTCTTCAAATTCTTTAAATGTCGTCTTTTCAATAATAATTATAGAAAATCTGCGAGCATCTTTGTGAATACGAGAAACTAGAATAATGAGATAATAGAAACTAATAATTGAACAAGATTACTACTTTTCGATGATAAGATTAATTTTTATTTTCTCAAAATGTTCCTAAACATGACGTCTGTAGTTTATTGTAGAATATTTTTACATTTTATGTCGTAGTTAATTAATAATTTTAAAAAACTAATTCTGAAAGCGTATCCACCCCCAAATCAGGAGTTTTGAACGTCGAATTTGAGCTCAAACTCAGGATTTACAGACTTTTAAAAAGTGAAATATGTCTCAAATGAATCCTAAAGAAGTTTTCCACAACACTGCATACTCAGTTCAACTACCTTACATAGCCGGTCACTCCCTTTAAGTCGATATGACTTAGCGCTTTCCCAACTAAACATTTTTAGCCCCATGTCAAATGATGGTTGCAAAATGTTTAAAAATATAATATAAAATGTTTTCAATAAATATTGCAAAATTTAAATATTTTATGACAGAATATTCAACGCTTGGTTAGTTCTTTGCAAATTATTTAGCGCTTTAAACAAGTCATTTCGCAATTTTTTTGCGGTCAAACCAGATATTTAAATAAACAAAATAGGGTATTAACGTCAAAATTCTTGTTTGTCAGATAGTCTATCAGCGGTTCAAATTCAACACAATTTAGTTGAATCGTGTTTACAAAAAAATACATTTTTGTAATAGTAAAGCTAAAATAAATCTGATGTAGCTGTAACAACAAGAGGTTTGAACTTTTGAATAAGAAAACAATAATCTACAATATCCCTGAACTCGATATCCTCAGCGAAAACTAATCAAATTTGACACTTTTAACTGCGTTATTGTTAAAAAATAACACTTTCATTGGTCGAGAGCAGATTTTTTGAGGCATCTATAAAAAAGACAATTTATAATAAAATCTAAAGTTGAACCCTAATATTATAACAGAATAGGGTTTATCTTTTACTACCATTTTATCTAAATATATTTTTTATGAGTTTTTCGTGTTTCTGGATGATCAGATTTTTCGGATATTTGAAACTTTATCTGTAAGATTTTAACAGAATTAACTTTATCTGTAAGATTTTAACGGAATTAGCTCTATCCATAAGATTCTAACGGAATTAACTTTATCCGTAAGATTCTAACGGAATTAACTCTATCCGTAAGATTCTAACGGAATTAACTCTATCCATAAGATTCTAACGGAATTAATTTTATCCGTAAGATTCTAACGGTATTAACTCTATCCGTAAGATTCTAACTGAATTAACTTTATCCGTAAGATTCTAACGGAATTAACTCTATCCGTAAGATTCTAACGGAATTAACTCTATCCGTAATATTCTAACAGAATTAACTTTATCCGTAAGATTCTAACGGAATTAATTTATCCGTAAGATTCTAACGGAATTAACTCTATCCAAAAGATTCTAACGGAATTAATTTTATCCGTAAGATTCTAACGAATTAACTTTATCCGTAAGATTCTAACGGAATTAACTCTATCCGTAAGATTCTAACGGAATTAACTCTATCCGTAAGATTCTAACGGAATTAACTCTATAACTTATTTCTGATCAATTTAATGAAGACTTCCAATATTTGTATGGGGAATCTAAATTTCCCTTTTTCACCCATTGGGTAATTAGATATCCTTGCTCTGAGCAGCATCAAACCTGTTTGAAAATTGAGCTATTTTCATCTTACTGTAGTCTAACAGTATATTTGATCCGTATATTGATATTATTAAACAATTTATATATTTTAGAAATATTGTATTTTCATATTTTAGATCTTAATATATATATTTATATTTTCATTTTTTTAGGCTCTAGCCGCGGGAATTAGCCTTGGACATGGCTTTAAATACAAACTTTCATTTTGTTTGCTTATCCAGGTATAGAATAAGAATAAGAATAAGAAAAAGAATAAGAATAAGAATAAGAATAAGAATAAGAATAAAAATAAGAATGCGAATAAGAATAAGAATAAGAATAAGAATAAGAATAAGAATAAGAATAAGAATAAGAATAAGAATAAGAATAAGAATAAGAATAAGAATAAGAATAAAAATAAGAATAAGAATAAGAATAAGAACAAGAATAAGAATAAGAATAAGAATAAGAATAAGAATAAGAATAAGAATAAGAATAAGAATAAGAATAAGAATAAGAATAAAAATAAGAATAAGAATAAGAATAAAAATAAGGATAAGAATAAGGTTAACAACAAGAACAAGCATAAAAACCAAAATAGCAGCAAAAGCTAGAATAACAAGAAGAGTTTAAAAAATTGAAAATATAAAAAATAAGAATAACAACAAGAACTAGAAAAACAACAAAAACAAGAATAACGGCAAGAAAAAGAATACAAATAAGAATATAAATAAATAAAATTAAAAGATGGTATTGATATAAAAAAAATATTCCTTATTATGGTTTTTTCAAATTATGATCATAAGAAAATAATTTGTTGTTCAAATATAACGATGATAATTCTGATCTTCAAATTATCCCAATATATATTACTGAGAACTAATATTCATTTAAAGTAATCAGTATTTAATAGAAAATGTTATTTTTATCAAAATTATATGAAAAACATGTTTTAGAGAACAATGCAAGGTTATAATGCAAGGAAAATTAATTGCAGTTGCGTATACTCTTCGTACATATTGAAACCAGTTCTCTCTGGACGGAATTTGTAAACAAGGAATAGATGCATCAGTGTTCGTTTAGTATCCGAGGAGGTTAAAAGCATTAAATTTTTATAATTTTGATAATTCACATAATAGTTTCCTATGACCAGAATATTTCATTGATTATTTATGTGAAAGATGGATTCCATGTCAGGCTTCCACATCCGTCTTGTGTTTATATTACCGCCCAGTGACAGTACACTGCAGTACAAAAGATGCGTACACCTCTGAAATAACATTACTTGCATTAAATCCTTGGAACGATTTTTGTGATACAAAATGTTCTAGTTAGTTTTTTTTTATAAATGAGCATTTTTTAAGAAATAAAACCGGTTGGGTTAAAGAGAAGTCAGCTTATTGATTAGGTTTTCTAATATTTATCAGTTAAACATTAATAATTAAGACTAATATTATATATTAATTTTAGACGAGTTTTATTTACAAGATTAGCATTAATAAGTTAGGGAAATGGTGGAGGGGGGGGGGGGGTTAATTTTTATTCATATCATACATTTATGCTTAGGTTTAAAACTAAACCATTTTTTTATTTAGAAGTCCGTGGTTGTTGTTTTTACTGCTAGAGATATCAAACCCTTTAAATATCATTCAAACTCTACCCAACCCAACAGATATTATTAAGGTTTGTATATCCTACCCAACTCAACAGATATTATTAAGGTTTGTATATCCTACCCAACTCAACAGATATTATTAAGGTTTGTATATCCTACCCAACCCAACAGATATTATTAAGGTTTGTATATCCTACCCAACTCAACAGATATTATTAAGGTTTGTATATCCTACCCAACCCAACAGATATTATTAAGGTTTGTATATCCTACCCAACTCAACAGATATTATTAAGGTTTGTATATCCTATCCAACTCAACAGATATTATTAAGGTTTGTATATCCTACCCCACCCAACAGTTATTATTATATTAACTTACTTTAAAATAGGTGAACACTCCCTTTAAAAAAATTTCAATGTGGTTCCATTCATATTATCAAAATTAAATGTCCGACAAAAATGTGTTTGAAAGGTTTGATTTGAATAAAATGATATCCTACCCCAACCCTCCCAAGGTTTAATGTTTTTATTCAACTTCAAAGATGCAAAAAGTGTCGAGTTTAGAAGTAATTTGATATTATTAACGTCAACTTGTCTTGTTAAGACTGTACTGAGAATAATTAAATGTAGGAGGAGGAGGGGGACGGGGGTAAGGCCCAGCTCCAGTATTTAATCTTTTAAAGGGACTGTATTTGAAATTTTAAGTAACCTTAATCGGATAAAAAGAGAGGTATGGTCGATTCACATTGGTACCCTCTGAACTTTTATCTTATCTATAATGTTAATAATATCATTTTCTAGCTTGACAAGTGATTAATTATCACAATTTTCTAGCTTGACAAGTGTTTAATTATCACAATTTTCTAGCTTAACAAGTGTTTAATTATTACAATTTTCTAGCTTGACAAGTTTTTAATTATCACAATTTTCTAGCTTGACAAGTGTTTAATTAGCACAATTTTCTAGCTTGACAAGTGTTTAATTAGCACAATTTTCTAGCTTGACGAGTGTTTAATCATCACAATTTTCTAGCTTAACAAGTGTTTAATTATCACAATTTTCTAGCTTGACAAGTGTTTAATTAGCACAATTTTCTAGCTTAACAAGTGTTTAATTATTACAATTTTCTAGCTTAACAAGTGTTTAATTATCACAATTTTCTAGCTTGACAAGTGTTTAATTATAACAATTGTCTCTATTGTTTCTCTATTGTTTCCACAATTGGAAACAATCAGTTTTCAAAGAGAAGATTATGAATATCCAATGCAATTTTTAATCAGACAAAGGTCTATGAGAGAAACTTAAAAGTACGTCCTCAATATTTCTGTTTCTAAAAATATTTCTCAAGTTCCTGTCCCTCATATTTGTGGTTGGATACCATTTAAATTCTCATTAATCTCAATATAAACCATCTAACTATTTAACCAAAATAATACCTTTTGTGTCTTATATAAGTTGCATTAATATTTTTAATTTTATTAGACTATACTTACTTTTGTCTCTTAGCATATGAGAAGCTGTTTATTTACTTAAAGGGACTGTCCTTGGAATTTTAGGTGACCCTTCATTTCAAGAAGATAATGTTCGATTCACAAGAGTACCATATAAAACCCGTTATCTAATTACAATGTGAAAGATATCCTCGTTTCTCTAGCTTGGAAAATGTCATACTTATTTTTTGTTCTTGAAGATATTTTAAAATTTTAAAAACTTAGATTAGTTTGTTTAGTTTCATTCAAGAAAAGTTTATACAAGTGTCCATGAATTAAGAATAAAAAGTATTGTTTCTCAAAAATTTCATATTCCAATTTTCTATAATATTTCATTAGAAGAAAAGTACACTCAGTAAAATCCATATTTTGAATATCTAGGAGGGGGAAAATACACTCAGTAAAATCCATATTTTGAATATCTAGGAGGGGAAAATACACTGAGTAAATCCATATTTTGAATATCTAGGAGGGGGAAAATACAACTCTACACTGTGAGACGGATTCCCCCTGGTTCTTCTGTTTATGGAATTCCCCAGGAGATGATCGTCACTGTGCTATACAGGTAAATATAAATAGATGGATATGTAAAGTTTGGGGGGTGGGGTCATTGGAACAAAAATTTTTACTAAAAATTTATTTATTTTTCAAAAATCACAGATAAAAAATTCTTTACTGTACGCTGCTCATATAAAATGTATGCCTTTTTGCACAGCGTACAAAAACTTAAAAAATCCTGACTGCAAATCTCTGCAATATGTCATGTGCAATCATAAATCATAAGTGGTGAACTGAAGAGGGTGGGGGGCTGTCAGCAAGAGAATAGGGAGGGGGGAGGATGGGGGGTCTTCAAGTTCAATTCAGTCAAAACTCACTGTTGCACAATACAATTGAATCTTGTTACTACAAGCAAAAGTTTTAGCTGCGTCATGGAACAAATATTCATTTTTTGCTTAATCTTTGATTCTGAAGCACTAGCCTGGGAAGGTTGCAAACCTGTCAACCACTTTAATCTTCGCTCAAAATACTAACTCACTTCTTGTGCGCTCAAATGGCTCAAATACCTTGTGAAAGCAAAAAATTTGGGGGTTTTTCATCATGTAACTTCAAACCAAATTACTCCTTAAAAACCGAAGCTAAAAACAAACGCGTTGCAATCTTGAAATGTATATGTCTAAGGCTACAAAAATGAGAGTTGGTGAGGTAAAACTAAAAGTCAAGGCGTACACTTCAAAGTTGAGGTTGTCTAAAAAATTGCCGAGTTGTCTAGATTTCAGTGATGTTTTTAGTATCTCAAAAACTGTTAGGACAGTCTGTTTAAATTGTCCGCATGGTCTAATGTTGTAATAATTGAACTGTCCTTGCCAACCCTATCTATACAGCTATTAAACCTAACATAGCCCGCTATATCTTTGAAAGGGTAGTTTGATACTTCTCATTAATTCTGATATGTATCCCTATCTTTCATCTTATATACATACAAATACATCAAGAATAATAGAGTAATGCTCTTAGTGCCTATATATATGCTATATATATGCTATTCATAATAATATACTTAAAAACAAAACTGAAACCCTCTTTGATAATCCAGACGGCTCAGGGATACATTTTTGGAATTTAGCATTTAAACATTAATATAAGCTTAGCAATTGCTCGATTATTATATCTTTGCAAACAAATGTTGCAGACTTTTGTTAGTTCAAATATTCTTAGTTTGAAATATCACAGTTTTACACTATCAGGTTGCAAAGATATAGAAACTTGAAAATTTGTGGCAAAACTCAGTTCATTTATTTATAGATTTTTTGTAATACCCGGTATCACATGAATAACACTAGTCTTGAAGTAGATTAAGATACAGGAAGCTTGCTCATTAGTTTTCTTTCAAGCAAAGCTCTGCATATTCAAGATTATCATTATATACATAAATATATATATATATGTAGGGATGGGCAGAGTCATTTTACAAATACTTTTAATGTTTTAGACTTTTCAAAAGGTTTAAAACTTTATTTTGTAGAAGTTTGCTTTTATCAAACATGCAAATTTGTTACCCTAGAGGAAAATATAAGGCAAAAACGATCGTTTTAAAACGGTGGTTATTGGGGTTTTGAAACGATAGTTTTTGGTTCGCTTTTGCCTTAAATTACCTAGGATAACAAATTTGCATGTTTGATGAAAGCAAACGTCTACATATTACAATTTTAAATCGTTGGACCCTTCTCCTATTGTCGTATAATCTGCTAAAAGTTTTAAAATATTACAAGTTTCTGTAAAACAAATCTAGCTATTGCCCATCGCTATATATATATATGAATCTTCTATCATTTGCATTTCCTCTATTAGATATATATTCTATACAACTTACATTTCTTGACCAATAAAGTAAAGAATACACTGATAGAAATAATTTTTTACCTGAGAACAAACAAATCTTAAAAAACTTTGAAATAAAATATTTTCAAGGTGAGTATATTCATGGCAAGGGAGATAGGGTTTGTGTACACATTAAACTGTGACGAATTATGACCACACCGAACTAAGTTTATAAAAACAATAACAAAAATTGCAAACAAGTCCCAAGTATGTTTTCTCGTCTCTCAGCTTTAGAATAAACAACTTGCGAAATTAGGTTTTCATGTAATGGAAGATAATCAGCGTTGATATTTATTAGTGATAAATTTTATTTTTAATGATTAATTTTCTCGTTCACACTTTATTATTGTTTTCTGTTTTTCTTAACATAAAACAAAGCATGGATGAACCCAAAAGGGCCAGCTAAAAAATATAGTCTAATCGAGATTGGAAATCGATGTATTTTTTTACCTTTCTATTCCTGCAACTAAGTACAAGGGTTAGGACAATTCGTGAATATGTTATATGTTATCGGAAGCTATAATATTGCAGCTCTTAATTTTGTAAAAAGTTTTTAAGAGTTTTATTTTATCTTTATTGAAAGTCATTTCCAGGCCCTAATCCCGGATCTTCAATCAAATTTAATTATTTTTTTGTTGTTGCAAAATTTCAATGCATTATATGCATCCCTAACTTGAGCACTGCAAGATTTTGAAGATTTTTTCTGAACAAATCAAAATGATAGATAATTCTTTTCACTGAAGTTCTGTACGTTTAGTTCGTATTAAAAGTTTTATTTGACCAAGGCATAGGCTATTGTGCCAGGGAGTATATTTCCTAAGAAGTTGGATTTAAGATTGCCAATAAAGTAAACCTTGCATTATTATACTCGCGGCTTCATTCTAACTTCAGTACTTAAGATGCAGTGAGAACCAGAAAACTGTGGAATAGGAAGACAACATTAAAGCAATGATTAAGTGTCTTTGATATTGTTACACAAAAGATGTTTTACTAGTAAATCATTAAGTCAGTTATAAATCCTTTTTCTTCTAGGAATCAGCTCCTGTAAGTGTCTGCTCTGGAAACCCCGGTCTAGAACTTTCTGGAACAAAAACCGGTTGTAGTCTACATATATCCGGTACAGGCCGGCACCATCACGGCGACTGGCTCTGCCTGCTTAATGATATCCAAGACTTCCAAACAGTGAGAAAGCAGGTAAATTTGTTTATGTACTGTACAAAATATACTATGTGAGAATGCAAGAAGTTACAAAAATGCAAATCAAGCAAACCCACATATTTTAGAGTTCTTTTTAGTTAATTTTAAGATCTGAATTTTTAGATATTAAATAGATATTTAGTTCAAAAGCTGGATGAATGACAGTAGAAGAGAATGCTTTTTTTTACACCATGATACTGAATATTTTGAAAGTATAGAAATATTAATCAAATTTTAAGCTATTTTTCTTTTCTTTTTAGATTTACCTCTCTGTTGGAAGGAAGGCTGATGTTAGTTGGGGTAGAGACTATAGGTCAGTTCTTTCAAATTTTCCAAACAACTTTTTTCTCTTCCAATTAAGTGCTTTGATTTACTCTTCTCCAAACTGTTTCTTTATTACTCTCCTTCTCCTCCAAATTGCTTGATTACTTTTTCCCCATTTGTTTAATCTGCTCCCATATAATTAGTTACTCTCCTTTATTATGTTTTTAACTCTTTTCCAAACTATTTTTTACTCTCCCCCAAGCTGTTTGTTAACTCTACTCCAAACTCTTTGTTTACTTTGATTTAATTGTTTCTTTACTCTCCTTAAAACTCTCCCTGTTTACTCTCCTCATAACATGGATTGCTAACTGTGTTTGTTGACTCTCCTTAAAACTCTCCCTGTTTACTCTACTCAAAACATGGATTGTTAACTCTGTTTGTTTACTCTCCTTAAAACTCTCCCTGTTTACTCTACTCAAAACATGGATTGTTAACTCTGTTTGTTTACTCTTCTAAAACTCTGTTTGTTTTATCTCCTCCAAACTCTTAATTACTCCATCTTCTTTGTTTCCTATTTAAACTATTGCTCGGCTTTTTTAGTATAGTAAAATAAAAAACATAGGAAACATATCTTAAATGCATTGATGTTAATAATTAATGACCTTACTTAAATACATGAATACATCTTCATTTTCTAGAGACGAAATCCTTGTTCTAACTGAGGGTCAAGAGACCAACCTGACCTGCGTAGCCGAGGGGGCAATCCCCGCCCCCTCCTTTAGTTGGCAGGGGGCGGTCAACCTAACCTCAGTGCCGGGGGGCAGGGGCGCATCTTTAGGAGAAGATGACCAGCACACTGTCTGGCAGACAGTACAGTACACAGCTAGGTTAAATGATACAGGTAGAAAGCCAGGAACATTTCCTTCTTTCTTGAATATTTATTTCGTAATGAGTTGCCGGATGGATTGGATTGAAAATCCTTAAAAACAAGAGAAATCTATTCCCCAAAAATCCCCAAATGTAAGATTTTTAAAATCCTCAGAAAATACCCTGAAAGAGAAATAAAAGCTCTAATAATTTCTCTTAAAATTTCTCAAATTATTTGTATAGTTTCATAATTTTTGGTGTCTTTTTCACTTTCCCAGCTCAAAACAGAAGTATTTCTAGATCCCCAAATCCCCAAACGGTTTAAAATCTCAAAATCTGACCCTTTTTGGGGAGAAATGGCAACTCAACGTGATGTACACGCTTTTGTTTATTCACATTCTTATTGAACATTTAAAAAAGAAGTGATGTTTGCACAAATATTGGAAAGATATATCTATCAACACAGATGTCAAGTGTTATCTGTCCATCTCTGTCTAAGAAAATAAAAAAGATAACATTTTAGTCCATATTCTAGTCTCAGCCAGATCCCCTATCTTTCAGTCTATCTAGTTCTTAGATTTATTCCTAATCTTTTACTCTCACTAATTGTCATTAGGAAAACACAGGAATTCTGCCAGATCTGCCTAGATAGATAGATAGATAGATAGATAGATAGATAAATATATAGATAGATAGATAAATAGATAGATAGATAGATAGATAGATAGATAGATAGATATATAGATAGATATATAGATAGATAAATAGATAAATAGATAAATAGATAAATAGATAAATAGATAAAAAGTTAAAAAGATAAACAGATAAACAGATAAATAGATAAATAGATAAACAGATCAACAGATAAATAAATAAATAAATAAATAGATAAATAGATAAATATATAGATAGATAGATAGATAAATAGATAGATAGATAGATAGAAAGATAGAAAGATAGAAAAAAATATAGATAGATAGATAGATAGATAGATAGATAGATAATTAGATAAATAGATAAATAGATAAATAGATAAATAGATAAATTATAGATAAATCAATAAATAAATAATTTTCTATTTTTAGGTTTGAATATCACCTGTGTAGTGGACCAGGTGGTCATGAGTAGTGGTCAGATCATGTACACGACATACAGTACACTTACACTAGACATCAAACCCATTATACCATTGGTGAGTACAGTACAGTTTTCCATGTACGCTATACATTGTACATTGTACACGACATACAGTGCACTTACACTAGACATCAAACCTATTATACCATTGGTGAATACAGTTCAGTTTTACATGTACACTGTAAAGTACACTTAGATACCAGACATACAATGTAAAGAACAATTTTATCGATACAGTACAATTATAAATTCACAAAGTACGTAGACAACACTTTTCGTGCAACTTGAGTTTTATAAGGTAATTAAAATCCATTTATTCTTGTTTGAACCAATATTTTAGCACTGTCATAAATTAGGTAAGATATAAATGGTTTTTAATATAAAACAAATTATTAGAAGATAGACACTAGACATATAGGGTTGATAGTTTATGATAGATGATTAGATAGATAAATGGGTGGACAGATAGAGAAATAGATGAATTGATAAATAAATAGATGGATAGATAGGTAAATATATGAATAGATAGATAAATGGGTGGATAGTAGAGATAAATAGATTAATTGTCAGACAAATATATGGAAAGATAGGTAGATAGATTAATAATAGACGGATATATAGATTAATAAATGATTGGACAAATAAATAGATGGATGGATAGATAGATAGATAAAAAATTGATAGATAAAATATGGATAAATAGATAAAAAGACGGACAGATAGAATAGATAGAATAGATAGATAGATAGATAAATAAATTAATAGATGGATAGATAAATAGCATGTGAGTTAGTTCTATTTCGTGTCTGAAATCAAGTTTAACTAGATATATAATTTTTGCCAACTTTCACCTTGTTTGCAATCCCGGATCCCTCCCTCCTCAACCATATTTATATAGTTTTTCCTTTATTTCTAATTCCCGCCAATTTCCCCATATTTACAGAGATACTAGTCCCTCATTTCATTTCTTAGAACTACAGGTATTTTCACGTTTATTTTTTCTTTATATTTCATCCTTCTTCTATCCGTCTATCTTACGTTTATCTTCCATCCTTTGTCTTTCATCCTCCTTCCATCCACCTTTCATCCTCCTTCCATTCTCCTTCCAGATTTCCTTTTTACAGTTCTTGTATTCTGTTTCCCCTTCGCTCCTTCTAAATCTTTATTCCGTGACTTAGGTCTTCTGACAAATGTAATTTATACAATTACCATTGTTACATGTATAGTGTATAGTGTATAGTGTATAGTGTATAGTGTATAGTGTATAGTGTATAGTGTATAGTGTATAGTGTATAGTGTATAGTGTATAGTGTATACTATTTTATACAATACAAAATAATACAGGTTGAACCTGACAACATTGTTTTTTGTAATTGTGATATAGAAATTGTTTTTTTTTAGGAAATAGCAACTAACGAAAAATACTTTCAATTTTCAATTTTCAAATTTTCAATTTTTAAATTGAATAAAAAAACACATTAAATTATACAATTATAAACTTTTTCTTTACTTTTTTATATATAAATATGTGTATTGTGTAATTTAACACCAGTGTCTCAAAATGATGAATATTCACCCTGTGTATTATGAAGCAGGAACATGAAGAATATAATTGACCCCAAGCAGGCAATATTTCCTGCAAATTTATACCTATAGGACACATTGTAGATTTTTTAGTGTTGGGTAAAAATTAACTAAAAGTGTCAAGTTTTGATTTATAAATCGGTAAAAATCAGTCCATAATTAAATTAATTAAAACTAAAGAAATAATTGAATGAATCATTGAATGAATGATACAATGAATTAATGATTCAATATCAATAAATCAATTAATCATTTTACCAATGAATCAATGAGTCAATGAAGCAATGAATTAATGATTCAACGAATCAATGAATCAATAAATCATTCAATTATTTTAAACTATATAATTATTGACTTTAATCATTACTCAATTTGTCAGCGATTTATTTGTTCAAATCCATTAATAAATAAATTAGAATTGCTTAAATGCTTTGATGGAGCAAAATATGAATTTCAGCTGAATGTTATTTTGATTAGTGTTCATTGATCATAAACTTGCAATGAATGCATAATTAACTTCCTGCATTAAAGTACAAAAACATGATAAACCTTGCGTTTCTCATGAAAAGAAGAAGGGGGGGGGGCGGCATCTTTCATTTAATCTCCGAAATTCTAATAGGGGTTTAAATTTATTTTAACAGAAATGGTTCAGACTATAGTTTTCACTTCATGCATTATTCGACATACATAATATCAATTTAAGATTTTGCAAAGTTGGCTGTCTGCTTTAGTGGATTTCCAACAAATTAAATTGAACCAAACCAAACAAAATATTTCATTATATTTATATTTATATTTATATTCATGTTTATAATATCGCAGAAACCATGCATAAATGTGTTTACTCCACCCCGGACTAACCAGAGTGAACAGCATTCGATTTCTTATAATTGAAATCTAACGTATTTTGGTCTATAATTCAACAATCTTTTAACTTTCGGATTTGCCGACAAAAAAGTATTTAAGAAAAAGGATAAAAGATTATGCATAATGGGTCAAATTGTGATCGAAAGTCACAGCTTTATGGAATATTGACATAACCGTTAAATCCACGTGACTCAGGATACACTGCAGGTTTTAACTCTTACTCTTAAATTAAAATTTAAAATTAAAAATTGTGCGGTTTATTTTCACCTGAAATTTTGAACAATACATTTGTCATCGAAAGTTATGTGAGACATGAAGATTGAAGATTGATCTATTACAGATTAAACAGTTTAGCTTTTAAGTTTTCACATTCCATACATTCAAGTTCATGACCTTCAGGACAAACTTAGATATTCGTCTGTTATGTATCCATTCATCCATCCTATACACACCATTCCATCCTATACACACCATTTCATCCTATTCATCCGATTCCATCCTATTCATCCCATTGTATTCTAGACATCCGGTTCTATCCTAGACATCCCATTACGTCCTTTTTACCCCATTACGTCCTATTTATCACATTATCTCCTATTTTCATCCCATTCCATCCTATTTATCCCATTCTATCATAGCCATCCTATTCCGTCCTATTTATCCCAATCCATTCTATTCATCACATTCCATCCTATTCATCACATTCCATCCTATTCATCACATTCTATCCTATTAATCCCATTACATCCTAGGCATCCCATTCCATCCTATTCATATGAAGAATACATGAACACTTACTAAAAAGAATACATTAACACATATTACAAGGAATACATTAACACATATTACAAGGAATACAAGAACACATATTAGAGGGAATACATGAACACATATTACAAGGAATACATGAACACATATTACAAGGAAAACAAGAACACATATTACAAGGAATGCATGAACACATATTACAAGGAATACAAGAACACATATTACAGGGAATATAAGAACACATATTACAGGGAATACATGAACACATATTACAGGGAATACATGGACACATATTACAAGGAATACATGAACACATATTACAGGGAATACAAGAACACATATTACAAGGAACACAAGAACACATATTACAAGGAATACATGAACACATATTACAGGGAATACATGAACACATATTACAAGGAATACAAGAACACATATTACAAGGAACACAAGAACACATATTACAAGGAATACAAGAACACATATTACAGGGAATAAATGAAGAATCCCATCCTTCCATCCTATTTATCTCATTCCAACCTATTTATCCCATTCCATCCTATTCATCTCATTCAATCCTATTTATTCCATTCCATAGTTTGTCATATTCATGATTCATCCTATTCTATCCTATCTATTCTATTCAATCTTTTTCATCCCATTTATAACTTTCATAATTTCATCCCATTATATTAGTTTCATCCCAACATATTCATTCACATTCCATTCAATTTATTTGTTTCTTATCCATTTATTAATTCATTAATTCATCCATTAATTTTTTAATTAATTCATTCATTCACCATTCATTAATTCATTTAATCCTGTAATCCCACCAAATACTGAACAAGAATTAATTTGAGAAAATGAAGATTGATATCTGAACACATGGATACTTTACAAGGAATGAGTAGGCATTTGTGTGTAAAGAAAGGTAGGCGGGGGACGGGTATAGAAGGAAAACCTGAAAGTTAGGCGGGGGGACGGGTATAGAAGGAAAACCTGGAAGGTAGGCAGGGGACGGGTATATAAGGAAAACCTGAAAGGTAGGCGGGGGGACGGGTATATAGAAGGAAAACCTGAAAGGTAGGCGGGGGACGGGTATAGAAGGAAAACCTGGAAGGTAGGCGGGGGACGGGTATAGAAGGAAAACCTGGAAGGTAGGTGGGGGGCGGGTATAGAAGGAAAACCTGAAAGGTAGGCGGGGGACGGGTATAGAAGGAAAACCTGAAAGGTAGGCGGGGGACGGGTATAGAAGGAAAACCTGAAAGGTAGGCGGGGGACGGGTATAGAAGGAAAACCTGGAAAGGAGTCCGGGTATTATGTAGTTTTATGTTTATTGCTAGATTCTTTACACTGAAGAAGTAAATATTTAAGTTATTGAACCTACAACTTTCATGTTTTTCAACAAATGCATTTTGATGTGTTTACGAAAAAAACAATATGCAAGTATAAGGTATGTGAAAAATGTGAAAAATGTGTAAAAAATCTGCAATGAACTTTATAATTCTAATATTTAGGGTCGAACAGTATCAGAAAGGATGAGTATTCTGGCAGGTATACTGGCCTCTGTTCTACTCCTACTTATACTTCTGGCAATAATAATAATACTTATCATTGCAAGGTAATCAGTTCAATTAATCAATCATTCACACTGCATCTGTTATCAGCGATTTATTCAGTTCAATTAATCAATCATTTAAATCAATCATTCAATTAGATTAATCAATCAGTTAAATCAATCATTTGAATCAATCAATCAATCAAATAAATCATTCAATTAGTTAAATCGATCAGTCAGGATTTTCTAATTCGTAAATATTATAAATAAAAAGTTACAAATTACAACATTTCTTATGACATTTCATGAAAAACAGAAAGAATGAAGACGACAATCGTTTTACAGTTTTCTATTTTATTTGTCAGCAAAATGTTCTCCAAAGATAAAAGTTTTGAATGAAAGTATTGTTAATGTGTAGGAGTAGCAGAAAGTATAAAGTAGTTGAGGAAGATGAATACTCGGATCCAATCTGGAAACCTAAACATTTAAACCAGGTAGATTAATATTTAATACTAGGCTTTTAGGACGCTTCGCACCTATCTTATATTTCAATTGTGAACATTTCCTCTGAATTTGTATTTATTGTGAAACAAAAACAAAAAAAGTTTGCGAATTTCATGAAAAAAATATCATGAATTTTCAAATTTTTTAAAAATTAATGAAAATTGAATTTTTATGAGGCAAATTTTTGAAAATTTGATCATCTGTAAACCTTCCCTGTGGTCGTGTGAGGTTCCACAAAAAATTGAGTCCGATCGGTTCAGCCGTTTTGACGTTTATTGGATACAAACAAACAAACAAACACCTAGACACCCAGACTTGCAAAGTATAAATATATATATAGATTAAAGGGACCCCCCTTCCCCTTTTAAGTCTATGGTGGGTCACTGCCCCTTTGCTCCACCCCTGTCTCCCCTGTATAAACTAGCCTTATTAAAAAACCAAGAATGTATCTAACATGTCCTATACAATCTTAAACCCACAAATCTTCTCCCAAACTGTAAAGTGTCTTTTTTTGTCTAAATCGACAAATGGTAAAAAGTGCACTTGGTTACTAATATTTTTGAAGCTGCTCTTTAAGAAAATGGTTTCTATAAAATACCTCATAACATGAAAAATTGCTGATCTAAGTTTAAGATTATAAAAAGAAAACAACAAGATAAAGGGAGACAACGCAAAATACAAACTAAAAGTCAAAATAAGGATAAAGGGTAAGATAAGGATAATTTAAAGGCTTTGTTTAAGATAAACTGGAAGATAAGATAAACTGTTAACTGGGTTTAAATCTAAATAGAGAGGGCGGAGTAAAGTGATCTGGACTTTGGTAATAATAGCGGTTAATTTTTCAGAACATGAACTCGATATCAACAGTAATAAGTTTTAATTTTATGTGATTTAGTACTAAATCTTTAAAAAAAAACATAGGTTATTGTCGTATTAGAACTAACTTAATCCGTTGTAAAACAAAACATATGGATTCTTGTTTTAGAATGGATTAACTAATAACTATGAGAAAGTTGCGATCTCAATATTATTTAAAATATGTGAGAAGTTCAGCCTTGTTTTGGTTGAAGGGAACTGGAGGGTGGGCGTGAAATTAATAATAAATTGTTATCTTTAAACCTACACACACCCTTGTAACTTCAAGATAATCCTTTACTTTTCTACTTTTCTACTTTCTCTTTCAGAATTTTCTGTTCTGCGTCCTTTACTTTTCTTTTCATTTTGCAATAATAGGAAATAAAATTTGTCACAAAATTGTATTTTTTAATACTTACATCTCCGCAACCTTTGATATTTGAAACTTTAATCTAGCGAAATTATTAGTTTGAAATATTAAAGGTAAACAACATAGGGTTGCATAGATTCAAAGGTTGGAGAAAAAGGGTTTTGATGCAAGTATTAGTTCCTTTGACTCAGAGAAACCCCAACACACTGAAATGTACCTGACTCTTGAAATCTTTAACTGATCAATAATAATGTAAAAGATATTTTTCTAGGTTCAAAAGTGTGCAATTCTGATAATTCTTACATTTGTCCTTTCAGCTAGAGCTAAAGCACATTGTACAGTATGCAAACATCTCTATCCTTTCCNTTATCTGACTATCTATCTATCTATTTATATATCATCTACCTATTATCTGACTATCTATCTATCTATTTATATATCATCTACCTATTATCTGACTATCTATCTATCTATTTATATATCATCTACCTATTATCTGACTATCTATCTATCTATTTATATATCATCTACCTATTATCTGACTATCTATCTATCTATTTATATATCATCTACCTATTATCTGACTATCTATCTATCTATTTATATATCATCTACCTATTATCTGACTATCTATCTATCTATTTATATATCATCTACCTATTATCTGACTATCTATCTATCTATTTATATATCATCTACCTATTATCTGACTATCTATCTATCTATTTATATATCATCTACCTATTATCTGACTATCTATCTATCTATTTATATATCATCTACCTATTATCTGACTATCTATCTATCTATTTATATATCATCTACCTATTATCTGACTATCTATCTATCTATTTATATATCATCTACCTATTATCTGACTATCTATCTATCTATTTATATATCATCTACCTATTATCTGACTATCTATCTATCTATTTATATATCATCTACCTATTATCTGACTATCTATCTATCTATTTATATATCATCTACCTATTATCTGACTATCTATCTATCTATTTATATATCATCTACCTATTATCTGACTATCTATCTATCTATTTATATATCATCTACCTATTATCTGACTATCTATCTATCTATTTATATATCATCTACCTATTATCTGACTATCTATCTATCTATTTATATATCATCTACCTATTATCTGACTATCTATCTATCTATTTATATATCATCTACCTATTATCTGACTATCTATCTATCTATTTATATATCATCTACCTATTATCTGACTATCTATCTATCTATTTATATATCATCTACCTATTATCTGACTATCTATCTATCTATTTATATATCATCTACCTATTATCTGACTATCTATCTATCTATCTATCTATCTATCTATTCATATATCATCTATCTATCTATCTATCTATTTATATATCATATGTCTATCTATCTATCTATCTATCTATTCATATATCATCTATCTATCTATCTATCTATTCATATATCATCTATATATCTATCTATCTATTCATATATCATCTATCTATCTATCTATCTATTCATATATCATCCATCTATCTATCTATAGATATATTCAAGGTACTCATGCAAGGAAAGTTAATTTCAGTTGGGTATACTCTGCGTACATATTGAAACCAGTTCTCTCGGGGCGGAATTTGTAAACAAGAATGGTTGCATCAGTGTTCGTTTAATATCCGAGGAGGTTAAAAGCATTAAATTTTGATAATTTTGATAATTCACATAATAGTTTCCTATAATGACCAGAATATTTCATTGATTTTTTATGTGAAAGATGGATCCAATGTCAGGCTTCGACATCCGTCTTGTTTCTACATTACCGCCCAGAGACAGTACACTGCAGAACAAAGGATGCGTACACCTCTAAAATAACTTTCCTTGCATTATAACCTTGAATCTATTTATATATCTATTTCCATGTTTATTTGATTATCTGTATATCTGGTGTGTTATTTTTCTGTCCATCTGTCCATTAGTGTATTATCTGTATGTTCATCTGTCCATTAGTGTTTTATCTGTATGTTTATCTGTCCATTAATGTTTTATCTGTACGTTTATCTGTCCATTATTGTTTTATCTGTATGTTCATCTGTCCATGGATGTTTTACCTGTATGTTCATCTGTCCATTAGTGTTTTATCTGTATGTTTATCTGTCCATTAATGTTTTATCTGTATGTCCATCTGTCCATTAGTGTTTTATCTGTATGTTCATCTGTCCATTAGTGTTTTATCTGTATGTTCATCTGTCCATTTAGTGTTTTATCCGTATGTTTATCTGTCCATTAGTGTTTTATCTGTATGTTTATCTGTTTATAGATGTTTTATCTTTCTTGTCTATTTGTCCATTGAATCTTTCTGTCTGTTTGTCCATTGCTTATCTATCTCTCTGTCCATTGACTATCTATCTATTTGTCAATTTACTATCTATCTATCTGTCAATTGACTATCTATCTATCTGTCAATTGACTATCTATCTATCTGTCTATTGACTATCTATCTGTTTGTCTATCTCTGATAGTATTTGATTGTGTATGTTAATAGTAAAGAATAACTGAATAGGTCACTGTATATATTCATCTATAATTAGCACCAACACTCATAATTTACACAAATGTCATTTCCATAAGAAGCGGTGGGGGGTAGGGAGGGGGGTATTCTTTTCTTTGATTGATAGACTAGAGAGTACACATGAGTTAGAGTTCTAATGCATCATGGACATAGATTAACATACAGAGATAGACACAAAACCCAGAATAAGAAAGAAGTTCATTTCATGTCTGGGTTATTTTGAACTCGTTTAACACCTCCAGTTTAAATAGAATAAGTGGGAAAGGTATATATCAGAAATCAATAAGAATGAGATGAGGAATTTGGTAAATAAAAATCTGTGAACTAAACATTCTGATTTTACCTCGTAAATTGGATTTTCTTAGAAATAGTAAAAATGGAGACAAGTATTGGTTGTAATAAATGTTAAAGATTGTGAAATCATATTTAACGTAAAAACATTTAGGTAAATTTGTATTGCATAGGAATATTATGTAAGTACAATTGTTTCATCTTTCTATCTATCTATGTATATTCTACCTATCTATCTATCTATCTATCTATCTATCTATCTATCTATCTATCTATCTTTCTATCTATATATCTATCTATCTATCTATCTATCTATTTATATGTCTATATATCTATATATCTATTTATCTATCCATTATGAATGATGATTACAATTTTTCACGGTAAAGGCCTGACAATGACAAGCCTGGTGTATCTCTGTAAATCTCATATCTTTTAATTCTTGAATATAATCTTCGTATTCATTAAGTAAATGCAGGAATCCAGAGTTAATCCGCTTCATACGTACATACGCTTGTATCGGATATATTTAATCCCGATTGCTAAAGCTCTGTTAAATCTCTTCTTAATCCTCTTTTTTTTGGGTATTCTGCTGGATTCCGTGATAAGGTTAAGACTTTTTTGTTTGTGGATGCGTTTTAAATAAAGAAAAATGAAAATGGACAATTCATCAAGTTTAAATATTGTTAAATTTTAGACCAAAAAGCAATTAAATTAGAATTAAAGAACCCAAACTCATCCAGAGGGATGATTCAATTAGAATTTTCAAAATCCTTTTTGATTTGATTTAACATCTGTAATGAAGTATCTATCTAATATTTTTCTTCAACCTTTTTTATCTATCTAACCAGTATCTATATGTCTATCTTATTCTGAATCTATTTTTATACCTATCTGTATGTCTATCTGTCTACCTATCTGTCTACCTATCTGTCTGTCTATCTGATATATTTATGTATTGTACGGCTATGTATGTTTCTATTATTACATTTCTATACAATTTCACAGGGTACTCAACAATACTTTTTTTAAAAAAGAATAAAACTTTAAATTTTGATTATTTGAATTTGTACGAAAAGAGGCATGAGGCATCATAAGGTTTAAGCAGAAATGAATGAAGAGTTAAATCTCTAAACAAAAAAAAAGTAAGCATAAGTCTGGCCCAGGGGGCGCAAAGCTTAGTGAATTTATAAACCATATATTATACCATATACGTTGTACACTTTCATATCTTTTAACAACTGAATCTAATGCTTCTTTCTATAAATTGATATCATATCAATTCAATTTAATCAATTCAATCGAATAAATTGGAGTGCAAGAAACGAACAAATATCCTTTGAACCTTGCAATTTAATTCAATGAGGCTTAATAGCCACAAACATACAAAACAAATTTGAAATATAAAATCCCCCATCACAACCCCCCCCCCCACTACATAAAGTACGTTATGAATTTGTACATTCTATAGATACACATGATGTTAATATAATTTGAAATCTAAACCATATAGTGTATTTTCAAGAACATACCTCAATACATCGAGACCAATGAAACTGTGGAATAGGAAGACGACATTAATGTGCATTTATTATTTTATTAATATTGCAGTTAACCGTAGCTTATGTGATATGAGTTCACAATTACTGTATTAGACTATTTAAATCATATCATGGAGTCTAACAGTCTTCTTCCTATTCCACGGTTTATATGTCTTAATGTAGATAGGGAGGGGGGTATTCTTTTCTTTGATTGATAGACTAGAGANCCCCCCCATCCACTCCCGACCCTTTATTCCCTTATTCCCCCACTTGAGATAAGGGTGGTGCCAAAATTCTTATCAACGTTATCCTTTCCAGTACCATACAGAGTACAGACTCCAATGTATGTTCCTGAAATATCTATAATACAGCTAATATATCTTTACGTCGATATAACTAGCTGTAGGCCATCTGGTTGTCTAGATGTATAGTGCACTAGCTGTATACTTCTCTAGCTGTCTAGTTGTCTACATTTCTCGTGGTATAGTTGTCTAGTTATCTTGTTATATATTTGTCGGGTTGTATAGATGTATAGTGCACTAGCTGTCTACTTCTCTAGCTATCTAGTTGTCTACATTTCTCGTGGTATAGTTGTCTAGTTGTCTTGTTATATAGTTGTCGGGTTGTATAGATGTTAGTGCACTAGCTGTCTACTTCTCTAGATTTCTAGTTGTCTACAGCTGTCTTGTGGTTTAGGTTTCTAGTTTTTTAGATGTCAAGTTGTTTGGCTGTCTAGATGTCAAGTTGTCTTTTTGACTAGCTGTCTAGATGTTTTTTTTTGTATTCTAGCTGTTTAGTTGTCTAGTTGTCAAGTTGTTCTGTTATCTTGAGGTCTAACTGTTTTGTTGTCTAGTTGTCTTGTTGTCTAGTTATCAGTTCTCTAGTTCTTTTGTTCTTTAGCCATGTAGTTGTCTAGTCTATTTGTCTAGTTGTCTAGTTGTCTAGTTGTCTTGCTGTCTAGTCGTTTAGTAGTCTGATTGTCTAATAGTCTTGTTGTGAAGATGTCATGTTGTCTAGTTGCCTAATTGTCTAGTTGCCTAGTTGTCTAGTTGTCTAGTTGCCTAGTTGTCTAGTTGTCTGTTTGTCTAGTTGCCTAGTTGTCTAGTCGTCTACTTGTCAAGTTGTCTAGCTTTCTAGTTGTCTAGTTGTCTAATTGTCTAGTTGTCTAATTGTCTAGTTGTCTTGTTGTCTAGATGTCTAGTTGTCTAGTTGTTTAGTTGTCTAGTTGTCTATTTGTCTAGATGTTTAGTTATCTTATTGTTGCAACATTTAGAAATTAAGCAAAAATGTTAAATTAATTTTACATCTTTTTCAAATCAGAGCGTAGTATTCAATTTTTTTATAATTGAAAATGTATGCTCAATTTAGATATTCTGTATATTGCGAAATGGAAATATTAACTTGTATGTATTTTCTTTTTGGTTTTATATAAAATAAATAATTAGAATATTCTACATACTTTCATTGCAGGATATGTTAGTGGCAGGGCAACAGAGAAAACCTCCGTTGCTAAAATACTCCAGGTAAATTATAAACAAATAAAAATAAATCTTCTTTTTAATGGCAATTTATAAACCTGGCTAATTACTCAACAATATATCTTCTAATCTTGGGGTTATATACTTTACTTAGACCATTCCCCCGACTCAATGGCGAAAGCAGCTTTATTATATTTTCTAATTTATTAAATTATCTGTTTCTTTTGACAACGCAAGCTATCTGAAAATGTGACAAAACTAAATGTATAATGGGACTGTATATATATATAGACAAAACTTTGAACCCCCTCCCCCCATTTAGAATGGCATGCCAAATTCATTGCGGTTCTCTTTAAACATCTATCTAATTAGCAATCAGGAAAATTTTGTCTTCTTTTTTTTTCATTTCGCGTGAAATTCTGTCGTTTCATTGTATTTGCATCTCTATAGCAAAACTGCAAAAGTCACGTTAAAGAGAAACCACAATTGAAAATAATTAAGTTTAATTCATTCATTCATTCATTCATTTATTAATTAATTCATTCATTCCTTCCACCTAATTCATCCTTTCATTCATCCTTTCATTCATCCATTCATTCATTCATCCTTGTATTTTTCATCCTTGATCAGACAAAGGTTTAGAGGGCACCGTTGTGAATCGTAAAGTCCAGTCTGTGAATGTATGTAAAGTCCAGTTTGTAAATGTATGTAAAGTCACTAAACATTACGTCAACAATTTGTTTGCCCCGCCCTACACCTTGTTTTATCTTTTATCCCTTCATATATCCTTAAATGCAAAAAAATATCTAGGGGGGTGGGGTGACCAGGGGACATCCCCCTTCCTATATTTGTTAAGCATGTATTGAACCTAGTGGCAGGAGTCTGACAACCTAATCTAAAAATATCATATAATCATATATACGATACACATTCCGCAATATTTATCCTAAAAACTGGTTCCTGTCATCACAAAACATCAGCAAATTTCATTCGATAAATATTTTGTAATTCTTGTAAATATTTGCAGTAAACTTACAGTTACACTGTATTGTAAAGATTTGCAGTACGCTTACACTCAATTACACTTTCTAAGAATAATACTGAACAAATTTTTATTTAAATATTCTTCATAAATAGTAAAATAAAAGTGTCAGTTAATTTGGTAGTAGGTATAGGGTTAATCATAAAATTATAGCGAATCATTTCTTCAATCAGATGTTTCTTTGATAAAGTCCTGGGAAAGAAAATAATTTGAAAAAAGCCAATGAAATAAAATCACCAGAAAGTCCTAAAACCAGTCAATATCCTTGAAAAAAGTCCTAAAACCAGTCAATATCCTTGAAAAAAGTTATTATTATTTGTTATCAAAGACTTTTCAAAAAAACTCTCTATAAATCCAATTCTAAAGTTTAGGGCACCCCTCTAAACATTTAATAAACCCAATTTTCAATTTATATTATTTTAAACCTATAAAACTGGCCTCCAGTCATCACAATATAAAAAACAAGTGTTGAAGGTCTGATGCCTGAGCTAGGGGCACATTTCATCAATAATTACAATAAAACCAGTTTACTTTATATACACATATACACGTAGAGATAAGGAGATCATTTTATATACTTAAAGGGACAATACTCCTATTTCACTTTATATACACATATACACAGAGAGATAAGGAGATCATTTTATATCCTTAAAGGGACAATAATCCTATTTTATATCCTTAAAGGGACAATACTTCTATTTTATATCCTTAAAGGGACAATACTCCTATTTTATATCCTTAAAGGGACAATACTCCTATTTTATATCCTTAAAGGGACAATACTCCTATTTCAAACGACCGTTTGTTTTGTATTAAAATACCACAAATTTAAACAAGTTCGACATTCTTTATTAGTCAAAGGTTTCAAGGCTGATGTTGTGAATCCGACATTCGAGGACCCTCCACAAAGGGAGGGTCACTTGAAATCACGCCTACAATCCCTTTAAACCTTTGATATTTCAAACTGTCTCTATTTGATTTAGCAGATCAGTTCATGGTTTAAAATGTCAAAAATCTACACCATCTGGTTGCAAAGATATACGGATTAGAAAATCAGAGAATGACCAATTTCTTTCTGAATGAGATTTAGTATTCACCTCTTTAATTAGATCGACCCTCAAGGAATAGTAATTGTCTCTAAAAAAGTGAATATTTGCAAATTATCTTTTTACATAGCTTGAGTTTTGTTTATAAATTTTGAAATGAGGTTTGGATAATCATTAACTTTGAATTTCAAATCCTCTTAGATCAATCTATGGTTTATCTATGGTTTACCACTTGTCTAAAATCATAACCAAAAAATAAATATTCCTTAGAATCATATTTCATATTTATCAACTAAACCCTAAACCTAACTGAGCTAGTTTAAAACCAGTCTTTGAAATATGAAACATTAAAAACTATATACATGCAATCCTTTTAAATTCCTAGTTATTACCTTCTTCTCTTTTCACTTCATGTTTATCTTGGATAATAATCAACTCTTTAGTATAATATATAGTCGGTCAATTCGGAGGCACAGCTACTTACAGGGTTACCCACAAAGGATGAGATTGTAAAGACGACTTTAACCCCTTTAAATATGACGATCCTAAGATTAGTTTAAGTCTGCTGTCTTTAATATAGTCTTTTAATGGCTTATTCAATGATTTGGCAAAGAGAGACACAAAGTTTACGATTGTAAGGAATCATTAATATTAGGAAATCGACAGTACACTCCTGTATGCCGAGTCTATTAGCTCCTGATCCAATCAGGGTTCAGTCATGTGTTTGGTGTCTATTCTGAACCAATAGAAATAGTATGTCGGTAACATCTATCTCATTATCCAATTAGAGATATGAATCCTTCAATCGGCGCTACCAGTAAATGGAAATATTTACTTCTACTGAAACTATAGTCAGTATAAATTTCGTACAGTCGCAATTCTCATCCTTAGTGGTTAACCCTGTATTTAGGGATACGGTGCAGGAGTATCTTAGCATATTTTATAGGCTCTGCATCTTTTAAAGAAACTGAATACAGACATATCAATGGTCATTGGCATATACCGGGTTGTATGCAACGTTATCGAAAAGAATTGTTTTAAAGAAACTAAATACTTACAGACATATCAATGGTCATTGACAGATACCAGGTTGTATGCAAAGTTATCGAAAAGAATTGTTTTAAACAAACAGAAATGTCTCACTCTGACAACGTAATTATGTACTTTTTTATTTTATAAATTTAAATGTGTAACTTGATCTGATTCAAATTGACATTATACATTGATTTAACTATCAATAACTATCTAGTTTTCCATCTAGTTATCTATCTTTCTATTTATCTATCTTTATCTATCTAATTATTATCTACCAATCTATCTTTCTATCCTTCAACCATATTAAACAGATCTACTAATATGTCTTTATATCTATCTATCTATCTATCTATCTATTAATAAATTTAGTTGTCTTTCTATCGGTCTATCTATCAGCTTCTAACCCTATCATGCGGATCTTTCTATCTGTCTTTTTATTTTGATAGAAAGAATCTATATCTACCCTTCCATTCTTATCTATTTTTCTATTTCTATTTCTCTAACTCTCTATCTATTTGTCTCTATTTAACGATCTATTAATGCATGTTTNCTCCCTTCTCCCCCCTAAATCTTTCTAACTAGGTGAAAAGACCTAATTAGAAGCTATGTGTCTACCATATTAGAGATAAGTTAGAGCCATAATTTCAGTCTAGTTTTTAAAAGAATAATTGAGCATAAACTTTCTTAGGAATATTAAGATATTTTAATGAAAGCTTAAAAATGTTGATGCTCCTCATCACCCCTAATCATCAATGTATCTTTTGTATATAACTAGCTGAAGGGCCCGAATTTGCCCGTGAAAAAAAATTTGAAGAAAAAAAATCGGTCCAGCTGTTCAGCCAACTAAAGGGAACATATATATGAATATCTTGTTTTATTATTAAAATGATATATATATATATATTATATATACATCTATCTATTTATCTATATCTATCTGTCTATTATTGAATTTCATGGTGTGTATTGTCTATTGTAGTATTTTGCATGTAATTGTTTACTTCAACTATACTTACTAACCATCTAACCATCTTACTAATTAGCTAACCATCCTACTAACCATCTAACCATCTTACTAACTATCTAACAATCTTACTAACTATCTCATCATCTTACAAACCATCTAACCATCTTACTAACCATCTTACCATCTTACTAACCATCTTACTAACCATCTAACCAGCATACTAACCATCTAACCAGCGTACTAACCATCTAACCACCTTACTAACCATCTAACCATCTTACTAACTATCTAACTATCTTACTAACTATCTAGCCATCTTACTAACTATCTAACCATCTTACTAACCATCTAACCATCTTACTAACTATCTAACCATCTTACTAACTATCTAACCACCCTACTAACTATCAAACCATCTTACCAACTATCTAACTATCTTACTAACTATCTAACGATATTACTAACTATCAAACCAGCTTCCTAACTATCTAACCATCTTCTAACTATTTAATCTGAGAATACTTTATTGTCCCTCCTGCTTTTGAGCCGATGAGACAAAAGTGGTTTTAAGATCAGGGATTTCTTTATTGTCCCGGCTGACAATTTTTGATTTCCAACGATATTGATGTGATGTTTATGAATCTACCTAAATATTCAAGGGTTGAGTTATGACATTAGAGATTAAGTTTGATTTTTAAACGTATCTCGTAATCTTAGCATCAATCTTAAAATATCCCGCCTTAACCCTTAGATAGGTAACATAAACATTTATACTAAATAGTTAGTAAAAGTAGTTAAAGAAATATTGTTATCTATGAAAATCTTAATTAAATAAATGTATAAATACTAGAAATTAGATCGCTTGGGGCCTCTCATTTATGTCCCCAAAGTAACCTGTCGAACAAAACCATATTGTCAATTTTGCCTTTTAAACCCTGTTCTTTTTAGTATGATAGATCACACTGATCCTCTACTATCCAGACCCAATAAGAGGATAGAAGAGGGGTATGCCAGAACAGATAATCAGATTAATAGACACATATCCAGGTATTTAAAATACTATTCAGTCATAACTGGTGATTAAAAATAACTTGGATCGGTTTCTTACAACTTTTAATTGGGTTTGGGCACGCACCTCTGCCCTTTTAGTTAAAGTAAATTCAACCTATATGAAGCATGAAGTCTGACCGCGTCAACCTTGTTGCACCGGCTAGTCCTGTCCATAGAGCTAGGTACAGTATAAACTGGGACCGGAAAGGTTGACCCGGCTCGGAAATTCAAATGCACTACGGCTGCCCGTGTGGGGCTTTTGAAAGGCCCCACTCAAATACTGTAAACTGTATTCTGCAAAAGTTTGCTCTTATTAACTAACACAAAATTTGTATTCTAAAAGAGAAAATATAAGGGGAAAAAAAACATCGTAATTACTGATTAGTTTGGGTTTCCCATATAGGCTCAAAATTTGTATTCTAAAAGAGAAAATATAAGGGGGAAAAAAATCGTAATTACTGATTAGTTTGGGTTTCCATATAGGCTCAAAATTTGACTTTGTGTAAGGAAAACAAATGTTAAGGATTAAAAATTTAAAAATTGTAAAAACTTCTCAAATTTTTCGAAACCTTTTCAACCTTTAAATATTTAAAAACCAACCTAGTTATTGCCTTTCACTAGTCACAACCAATGAACAGTGGACGTGGACTGAAAGTCCCGAAAGTTTTGATAATTCTTAGAATTTTGTAAATTGTATCTCTAAAATCGTGATATATGTTTATCAGTTATAACCTTAGAACAAAATTTAGTTACAGTTATACATATTGGGAATTAGCAATCTGTTACGGTATAATTCAAAATGTTAAGTTCACACTCAAATATTGTAAGTTTGATTTCAAAACCAGGGACTTCAACGAAGAGACTTCAAAAGGCGAATCATGAAAAAATTGCCCCTATTATACACTTCGATTAATCGTCTCTTCGATTAATATAAATTGTATCCAGATTATATCTAGATATACAGGTATCTATATATTTATATGATTAATTACATAATTGAATTATTAGATGAATAGATTCTAGGATAAACTGATTATTTAATGGATAAATAAATTATGGAATTATCAGTGCCTGATAAATCATTTCATACCACTCTGTCTTTCTGTTCGTCTATCTGTCTATCTATCTACCTGTCTATCTGTCTATCTATCTACCTGTCTATCTGTCTATCTATCTACCTGTTTATCTGTCTATCTATCTACCTGTTTATCTGTCTATCTATCTACCTGTCTATCTGTCTATCTATCTATCTATCACTTGTCTGTCTGTATATCTGTCCATCTGTTTATCTGTTTATTTTTTTATTAATTTTTCTATCTGCTTTTTATCTATCTATCTATCAATCCACCTGCATATCTATCTATCTTCTTACCATCAGATGTTTTAATCTGCCAATCTATTCAGAATTCAAACCTGCTTTTTCCTTCATCTCGTTAACCGTCTATATCTTTGTTTGTCAATTTGTCTATCTTTGTCTAACCGTGTCTCTTTCTATCTATTTGTCTTTTTATCAGACTTTTTGTTTTCTTAAATCTGTCTTTCTTTATATCTCTGTCTATTTGGCTATCTGTCTATCTGTCTATCTATCTGTCTGTCTTTCTATTTGTCTTTGTATCTGTATATGCCTATCTAGCCATCTGGTTTTATGTCTGTCTGTCAATATCTGTCTATATGTTTCTTTGTCAATCTGTATATCTATCTATCTATCTCTCTCTCTCTCTATCTATCTATCTATCTATCTATATTTCTAGCTGTCTATCTATCTATATTTCTATCTGTCTATCTATCTATCTGTCTATCTGTCTATCTGTCTATCAGTCTATCTGTCTATCTTTCTATCTATCTATCTGTCTTTCTGTCTAACTGTTTATCTGTCTATCATACTATCTGTCTATCTGTCTATCTGTCTATCTGTCTATCTATCTATCTATCTATCTATCTATCTATCTATCTATTGATGAAAGCATTAAAAATGGTCAAGAATTGGCCTGTGTCTATGTTTTTGATGTCTAGAATACCAAGAATTCACACTAATTATTGAGAACAATTAGTTACTTCAAGAATTTCATCATAAACCTGTTCTTAAAATTAATTTTCATTGAAAACCTTTATCAAACGACAATTCAAGCCTTAGTTTGAAATTTGACTTTACATTTCAGCTTATACAAGCATGCCTTAAAGGAACGATGAATATTTTTGGAGCAATCAAGACATGTTACACCTTTAAATATTTAACCCTATATGGATATCTAAAACTTATTCTTAGATATATATGCTTGTAAATATAGACCTTGGTCTAATCAAGACCTAAAAAGGGGTTTTCCTTATATCCATGATTGTTCTTTTATTTAGAAGCTAGGGTTCCTCTTATCCAGGATATATCAGGAACTAAGGTTCCTCTTATCCAGGATATATCAGGAACTAGGGTTCCTCTTATCCAGGATATATCATAGGAACTAGGGTTCCTCTTATCCAGGATATACTAGGAACTAGGGTTCCTCTTATCCAGGATATATCAGGAACTAAGGTTCCTCTTACCCAGGATATATAAGGAACTAGGGTTCCTCTTATCCAGGATATATTAGGAACTAGGGTTCCTCTTATCCAGGATATACTAGGAACTAGGGTTCCTCTTATCCAGGATATATAAGGAACTAAGGTTCCTCTTATCCAGGATATATCAGGAACTAGGGTTCCTCTTATCCAGGATATATCAGGAACTAAGGTTCTTCTTATCCAGGATATATCAGGAACTAAGGTTCCTCTTATCCAGGATATATAAGGAACTAAGGTTCCTCTTATCCAAGATATATCAGGAACTAAGGTTCCTCTTATCCCAGGAAATGTTAGGAACTAAGGTTCCACTTATCCAGGATATATCAGGAACTAAGGTTCCTCTTATCCCAGAATATGTCAGGAACTAAGGTTCCTATTATCTAGGATATATTAGGAACTAAGGTTCCTCTTATCCCAGGATATGTCAGGAACTAAGGTTCCTCTTATCCAGGATATATCAGGAACTAAGGTTCCTCTTATCCCAGGATATGTCAGGAACTAAGGTTCCTCTTATCCATGATATATTAGGAACTAAGGTTCCTGTTATCCAGGATATATCAGGAACTAAGGTTCCTCTTATCCAGGATATATCAGGAACTAAGGGTTCCTCTTATCCAGGATATCAGGAAATAAGGTTCCTCTTATCCAGGATATATCAGGAACTAAGGTTCCTCTTACCCAGGATATATAAGGAACTAGGGTTCCTCTTATCCAGGATATATTAGGAACTAGGGTTCCTCTTATCCAGGATATACTAGGAACTAGGGTTCCTCTTATCCAGGATATATAAGGAACTAAGGTTCCTCTTATCCAGGATATATCAGGAACTAAGGTTCCTCTTATCCAGGATATATCAGGAACTAAGGTTCCTCTTATCCAGGATATGTCAGGAACTAGGGTTCCTCTTATCCAGGATATGTAAGGAACTAAGGTTCTTCTTATCCAGGATATATAAGGAACTAAGGTTCCTCTTATCCAGGATATATCAGGAACTAAGGTTCCTCTTATCTAGGATATATCAGAAACTAAGGTTCCTCTTATCCAGGATATATCAGGAACTAAGGTTCCTCTTATCCAGGATATATAAGGAACTAAGGTTCCTCTTATCCAGGATATATCAGGAACTAAGGTTCCTCTTATCCCAGGATATATCAGGAACTAAGGTTCCTCTTATCCCAGGATATGACAGGAACTAAGGTTCCTCTTATAAAGGATATATTAGGAACTAAGGTTCCTCTTATCCCGGGAAATGTCAGGAACTAAGGTTCCTCTTATCCCAGGATATGTCAGGAACTAAGGTTCCTCTTATCCCAGGATATGTCAGGAACTAAGGTTCCTCTTATCCAGGATATATCAGAAACTAAGGTTCCTCTTATCCAGGATATATCAGGAACTAAGGTTCTTCTTATCCAGGATATATCAGGAACTAAGGTTCCTCTTATCCAGGATATATTCGGATGTGAAGGTGAAGAAAACGTAAAGAATGGTAATATGTCGGATTTACAGGAAGTGTCGCCTGAACCTCATCTTTCTAATCACAGGGACATCATGTCAAGGAAAGATGTAATTTTAATAATTATCGGAAGTTTACACAAAGCAATAATGCATTTACGTGGCTTAAGCAAGACTCAACGAATCCTGTGAATCCCAGACTAAACTATATATTTGAGAAAATGTAGAAAAGCATCTCTTTTTTTTACCTTATTGTGGTTTGGTCCGCCATCTTAAATTTAAGCTGTTATCATTATACTTATTATTTTTCATCATCATTATTTTTATGATTATTATTATTATCATGATTATTATTATAATAAGTAAGTAAGGGGGAGAGAATGGACGGAAAAGAGCCTGGAACTAATGAATCAAAGATTTGAAAATAAATCTAAAATATCTGTCCCCAATATTCTGTAATAAATGGATAAACGGTCGGAAATAAGACCTAATTAATGCCTGGAGGTTATAATCAGGATAAATATTTTTCCTGCTCTAACCATTTCAATCCGCCGCGAGGTAGAGATATCTTTTTTAAATTAGATTTTTGTTTCAGATTTCCTGAGGTTGATGATGCAAGGTCAGCTCAGCCTCTAGAATACAGATTGCCAGGTAGAGATCTCCATGTAGAGGCACGTCATCTTCTTGCTCCAGCTGCGCATGACAAACAGAACGGTCACTTGATCAATCGGAACGGTCAGCTGTCCGTGCCACGTTTAGATCACTGTTCTGAATCCGAGATTAGATATCTGGACTCATTAAACGCAGAGTTCAGGAGAACTAGGTTTGATCTGAGTGCGCGCGCTGACAAGGAATCTCCGTGCACGGACACCCTCAGCTCCGGGTATGCTACCACCAGGGTGAGCGTGGTGACCCCGACATGTGATGTGTCGACGTATAGCAAGGAGTCCCCGACCTACCTGGACACCACGCTCGACAGCGGTTATGTTACAAAAGATAGACACCTAGACGAGACGATCGACAGTGATCTCACAGGGAAAAGTGATCAGGGGGGTAGTGAATGTGATCAACCGAGTACAGACAACTATGATCAGTATGATAACACGGATCAATTTAACTCCCCTCTAAGCACAGACTTTGACTCTCCGAATGAGACGAACTTGTTGTCAATAGTGAACGATCACTGTTCTCCGGTGGACTCCGCTCCTGCCGGATGCAATGAACTACTCCGTACTCCGTATGGGAGAAACTCTGAGATTCCTACGCGTGGTGCCGGGAGTACCGGGAGTACCAGACCTGGGAGTGGGTTCACAATATTTGATTGCGAGCAGGGATGTTTTATCAGTGTAGAGGAGTATAATAAACTTTACGGACCCAGTGATAATTGATACAAAAAATAAGGAAATAACAATTTTTATATTTTTACACAAATTAGTAACTAATTATCAAATGTTTCAGTAAAATAAGGCATTTAACACAAGTTGCAACGTATTTTCTGACGCCATCAGATTTAGTTGTTACATGCAACATTTTGTTGAATGCAATCCGTTCAAAAATACAAAATATTTTTCATTTCAACATGTTTTCAATGTAAAATAAAAAACTACGTAACTGTTGATGTAACGCTGTGATGATGTGAGTTAATAAAAAATAATTTTACCACCATGTCGATCGTACAATAACAAAAACATGAATGTCTGCAGGAAAAAGAACCAAAAATGAGATGAGTGAGACCCAATAAAAATAAGAAGTTTCGATGAGAATCAGAGAACTGTGGAATAGGAATAGCAATCCTTCAGTTTATTTGATCTATTTTACAGCATAATTTAAGTCCGAAAGTCGCCTTTATATTCCAGAGTTTTTTAGTTCACATAAATTTAGGTAAAACTCCTCTTTATCACAATTGTTTCATAAATTCTGCCTTTTTTGACTGAAATATAAAAACTATAAATAGGGGACTCACACAAAGGACGCACATTATGGATGAACGATAAGGACGCATATTATGGATGCACAATAAGGACGCATATTATGGTAGGATGCACAATTAGGACGCATATTCAGGATGTACAATAAGGACGCATATTATGGAAGCATAATAAGGACGCATATTCTGAATGTACAATAAGGACCCATATTCAGGATGTACAATAAGGACGCATATTCAGGATCTACAATAAGGACGCATATTCAGGATGTACAATAAGGACGTATAGAATGGATGCATAATAAGGACGCATATTCTGAATGTACAATAAGGACGCATATTCAGGATCTACAATAAAGACGTCTAGTATGAATGCACAATAAGGACGCATATTCAGGATGTGCAATAAGGATGCATATTATGGATGCATAATAAGGACGCATATTGAGAATGCACAATATGGACGCACATTATGGATTAGTTAGCGAGGTAAAATCAAAAGCCAAGGCGTTACGACACTAAAAAGTCGATCCAGTCTTAAAAAATTAATTCAACTTTTCATAGCAGTCTAGATCTATGTGGGTCGAACGTATTAAAACTATTAGAAGAGAGTTAATCAAATACAGGGTATCCCACGAAACATGACAGTTAGTGAATAGTTTTTAATGTCTTCTTCCATATACTGTATTGATATCAAATACTTTTCGCAGTTTAATTATTTTTGAAAATCTTTTACTCAAATACATTATACTTTGAAATAAATTTTTCTATAATATGACTGCTATGTGATATGTTTTATTATTCTCTTTGATATCCATTAACTTAACAAAATATGGATGAAGACATTTTATAAGATTCACCAACTGTCATGTTTCGTGGGACACCCCGTACTTAAAAAAACCACACAAAATACAATGGTCAAAAACGTTAGCAAACAATCCCAAAGAGGAATGTTAACCTAATACACAGGTACTCTGGTCAATATAAATAATGGACTAAACTTTATTTAGAGATATCATTTTACAGAGTAAAGAAACAAAATAATTCTTTTATTTATTTATGTTTAGAAAAACTGTAAAACTTACATTCAGCATAAAACAGCACATTTACATTGGCTTAGATTATACAATGTCAATCTTTCTTATTTTATGAAATTTATTATGTTCTTCAAAGGCCGATTTTTTGGCCGCTAGATGTCTCTCGGAGACCATAGATATTTCAACTTGTTGTTCTGTTAAATCAAATGAGCTAAATTTTAAATATCAAATATTTACCCCCCCCCCCTATCCGGTCAGAAAACCTCTAGTTGTGCCAAAAGTAAAAATTCAGCTGCACGGAAGACAATAAGCAGACAGAGGGGAAAAAGAGCAGAAAGAGAGAGAGAGAGTAACCCATGAATGGAGTTGATGATAACCAGATGGTTTATCAGAAAAATTCTGAATTATTCATCAACATTTATTGATATAACAAAATCAATCAAACCGTAAAATAAGCCAATATACAGATACAGTTCTAATACTGCATTCAGTAATTTTGAAATCAGTCAGTTAGGAATTTAATTAGTTTAGTTTGTCTATATTTATCCAACGACCGTCAAAACGGCTGAACCAATCGGGCCTCATTTTTTTGGCAACTCATTTGAAAAGGTTTATTGCTGGTGGAAATAACAAAAATTGTGCATTCAAAAATTTTTAAAGTTTAAAAATCTATGTCACGAACAAATCTGCGCAAAATTTGAGTTTTACGATAACAGAGAAAAAATGGCGACTGAAAAACAAGAGTTAAACAATAAACTATGTTTCTATTAATTAAATCATGAATTTAAGTTTTAAAAAAACCTCATATGTCTCATAGATACAGAAACCTCAGTCACAAAATAATAATTTATTTAATAATAATAACGTTAAAAATTATCATAATGGTGTTTTGATGTTTCTCATATAAGCCTATAGATACATGGCCGAATCCTACAATATGCCTTTTTTTTAGAAATAAATATTATGTGTCAGTTAAAATATTCTATTTAACAAGAAATTAAACATACATATAAAACACCAAACCACAACAATTTAAAGTAAAGATATAAATGTAGTAATCAAAAAAGCATGGCCGTGTTCAGGAATTTATCCAGGGGGGGAGGGGCTTAAATTATTTTTTCTTTCCAAGGGGGGAGGCCTAGCACCCGTTGCCTGAAAATCCCCTGAACTCAATAGATTTCACTGGTCCAGGGGGGTGGCATAGCCCCCATAGCCCCCCCCCCCCTCTGAATTCGCCTTTGTAAAAAATGGCCTGTGAGTCTGCAAATTTGCAATTACTATAGGTCCAAAAATTATAGATAATTTAATCGACAAGGATTTGCATCATTAGTCTCCAACTGTTGAATAATCCAGTTCATACATATATTAACAGGTTGATGTAGGTCAGGTTTACCACCACCATCACCGTCTTTACAACCACATCCACATGGTATAGGAAGCTTCGTTGGATCGTGCATTACAGAACTCGTTATTCCGACTGCAGTTCATGACAGACCAAATCTTTTAATTTACATCATGAAAGAGTTGTCAATGTGTTGTCGTTAATAAAGCTGAATGTCATAATAATAAAAAAGAAAGAGTTGTTAACGTGTTGTCGTTAATAAAGCTGAATGTCATAATAATAAAAAAGAAAGAGTTGTTAACGTGTTGTCGTTAGTAAAGCTGAATGTCATAATAATAAAAAAGAAAGAGTTGTTAACGTGTTGTCGTTAATAAAGCTGAATGTCATAATAATAAAAAAGAAAGAGTTGTTAACGTGTTGTCGTTAATAAAGCTGAATGTCATAATAATAAAAAAGATAACATTATCTGGCCAGCTCATATTTTCCGAATATCTCCTCCTTAGCGTTTTGATTGTTTGGAATTTGGAAAAAAATGTGAAAAATATGAGCTTTGAGAAGATTTTGATGCACTAAGCATCCAAATTAAACATCAAGACATCAAACAATACAAACGCTGAAGAAATATTCCAAAAATATTAAATATAAAACATATATGCTGAAATACAAAGAAAATTACAAATGTAAAACTGATGATAGTCCTTAAAAACAACATTATTTGGGAACAAAAGATTTTTTTGAAAATGATTTATGCTACAGGAAAATGTATTATGCTACGGGTAAAATGTATTATGCTACAGGAAAATGTATTATGCTACAGGAAAATGTATTATGCTAAAGGAAAATGTATTATGCTACAGGAAAATGTATTATGCTACAGGAAAATGTATTATGCTAAAGGAAAATGGCAAAAGAAATGCAGGACTGGTGATAAAGTGATCGGTCATTCCTTGAACAAACTTGCTGCCCATCTTTATGGCAGAAGGACTTCCGGAGTTTCCAGGACATCCGCTTCCAGTAATCGGCTTTAGGCACAGCATAGAAGAGTTTTCAAAGGATACATTTCTAAATTAATCACTGTGTTTAAACTTTATGTTTTTGCAAGCAAAGTTGGAATCCCAAGCTAGTTAAAAGTAGTAATATCTCTTTTTTGTTTGTTTGTCCGATCATAACTTAGAAACCCCGTAACCGATTTGCCTCAAATTTTAATTAGGGAACTCTGTAGAACCAGGGGAATATGTTTAGCTAGGTTTAAAAGTTCTTAGTTGAAGAAAACTTTGTTTCAAGGCAAAGCTGGGTTCCCAAGCTAGTAGCTTAGAAGTTTGTCAACATTTACCTTATAAGCCCAAAAGTGTTTTTAATTTGGCTGTTTTTGCATTCGTCCTTTGATAACAAGTGTGATTTAGCTTCTTTCAGCTTGTTGGTTGAATAAACTGATAGCATGTTGTGGACTTGCTTTATAAAAATACAAACATTATTAAGGAAATAATCATTTTTAGTATTAAATCAAGTATATTAAAGGAACTCTACAATTTTGAAACCCGATGTCGACGTAGATGTTTTAAACACTTTAAAAAATCCGTTGTAAATATCACAGGTTTACACTATCATGTTGTAAAGACATAGAGATAAGAACATTTAAGTTTGTGGCAAGAGCTCAGTTTCCTTGTGATATATATATATATATATATTTGAATTGCAAATACCCACCTCTATATAGTGAACCAACCAGCTCCAATTTTTGCTGCACTGCGAGCATTTATCTTTTAACACTTTTATCTCTGTATTATTCGGAGCTAAGAGCAATTCCTTAAATATTTTCTCAATATCTTCAAGTATGTACAATTTAATTCTTTCTTTTTCTATAGAATCTGGAATTTTCTTTTCTAATGCAGGTTTTAGAAGATTTGTCATTTCTATAGTCAGAGCATTCTTACTATCATTGCTTATGGAAGGGTTCAAGAAATTCAATTCTTGATCATAAACCTTATCAAAGTTTTGATAAATCTCTTTAAATCTGAAAAACAGTTTTTTCAGAAAATCAGTTTCTTTTTTTTTGAAATTGACCCAGTCGATTGTTGTGTTGTCTTGAAGGGATGCAAATAATTCTATTAGATCCATCTGAGGGTCTGTAATTATTTTGTAATCAGTCAGTAATTTATTAAGGTCTTCATCTTTCCCCCAACCCAGTAGTAGAGCCTCTTCTTCTTCAATTAATGTGTCTTTCTACATTCAACCAATAATTTATCAGAAATTCATAACGCTTCACTGTCATAATGTTGCCAGCTCAGTTTGTTTTGAGATCAGTTTTTACACATTTAAGGTTTTTTTGGGATTTTAAATAGGCTCTACAAGAATCTAAACTGTATTAGAAACAACAGATTTACTTTAAGTTTGATTTTATTACATTATTAAGCTTTGTACGTCCCCTTTTCCGTAATTTTAGCGTATAGCTGTTGCTCTGAAAGTGGCAATTATTCAATTTTTTACAGATATTTCTATTTAAATTGGCGTGATTTTTTTTCGAGCAAAGTTCAAATTTTACCATCCATAAACCTTTCTTAGGGTAAAGTGAGTTGTCAAGAAAAGTTGGGCCCGATGTACGTAAAGTGTGTGACCACTGAGAGCTGGATAGAATTTTGTTTTTTTTATAAGTCGTATTCCTGAGGCAGGCATATTGTTCCAACGTTTTCATTAAATTCTGAAATAACAAAAATGGGAATAATTCATTAAATCGATGAAAATTCAGAACAAAAATTAAATTGCAATAATCAAGACTACAGCGTTGGGGTAAGAGATGTTAACGTTTTAATTTTTCAGAAAAACGATCGTTTCGTTATGAAAACGACGACGAAAAATCGAAAACGAAAAGATTTTTTTAAAACGATCGTTTTTTTAAAAGTTCGTTTTTTTAAATGGTCGTTTTTAAAACGATCGTTTTTCAAAACGCTCGTGTTTCAAAACGATCGTTTTTCAAAACGATCGTTTTTATAAAATTCGTCGTTTTGTTAATGATCGTTAACGACGATCCTTCGTTAACGATCGTCAACGACGACCCTTCGTCAACGATCGTTAACGACAACCCTTCGTTAACGATCGTTAACGATGACCCCTTCGTTAACGATCGTTAACGAAGAGAGGAAACCGACCTGAAGGGCATCAGTACTTATCATTTAGTAGTTTTTAAGAAAATATCAAGGAGTTTTAACTCCCCAACAAGTGTTAAACTTCATGTAAGACGACATTTAATAAAGTTGCATGTAATTTTTTTTCCAAAAACGACCGTTTTGATAAAGTTTGTCGTTTCGTTACGTTCCGGAACGACAACCCTTCGTTAACAATCGTTAACGACTACCCTTCGTTAACGATCGTTAACGACGACCCTTCGTTAACGATCGTCCACATAATTGTCAATAAATTTTTTTTTTAAACCTACGTATAAAAACGGTCGTAAATCGTTTTAATAAAAACTATCGTTTTCAAAAACGGTCGCTATTTGTTTTCTGAAAGTTCAAAACGAGTGGGTCGTTTTTAAAAACGATCGTTTTTTTCCGAAAACGAAACGATCGTTTTTGAAAACGAAACAAAAAACGATTAACAATCCTAGATGGATCATCAAAAATAATGGACTTACCAATATTTTCTGTTATTAGTACAGCAATGTCATAATCGACATTCCAATCTTTAAATCCGTTGATATACTTAGGGTGAATAATCTGTTTCTTTATCTTCAATCTTTGGCCTTCCATAATTTCAGAAATCAAATCTAAAAATTTATGATGAGTGTTTTAAACTGTAAATTGACTTTGTTGGCAAAAAAGGTTTTCACTCTCGCAGAAAAAAAAGAAATTAAGCCCTTTAAGAACGGTGATTTCATAGATTAATTAAAATAACAGATAGGACACTAGTTGTCATCTTTTCAAGATTTATAAGCATTTAATTCACAATCACCCTGAGGCAGAAGCCCAAAGGAGTTACGAGTAGTCGGTGTAGACCAGACTCTCTTTCTGTCTTGTAATTCTAAGACCTTTTTTAACTTATGATTGAAATAATATTTTCATTTAAATTTTATTCTATAAGCACTTAGCGGGTATTAGCTGTGAGATGAAGAAAAACGGTCCGTCCTAGTATTCGATTTTTNCCCCTATTAATTTTGTACATGACCAATATTCAATATTTATCATCAAAATTATTATTTATTTTGTATTCTTTAAGGGTTAGGTTAGGTTAAGACAATTTCTGGGGCGAGCGCTGTGGCTAGAACAGGATAGGGGGCCGAGCGCTGCGGCTAGGACAGACTAGGTGCTGGGAGCTGCGACCATATGACCAATTTTATCAATGTGATTCAAATGAGATCCATGTACAAAATTGATGGGGGGGGGGGGGACGGGTGAGGGCCAAAAATCTAATACTAGGAATTACCGATGAAAACTTTTTAAAATATTAATCAGCTATAAATATGGCATGTGTGATTCACCAGGGTACCCATTAAACCTTTGTCTGAGATAAAGGATGAATAAAACAACAATTTGATTTTTTCTTCAATTTTGGCATTCTTACTCGAAAAAAAGGTTAAAAGGACATCGATGTGATTCGAAAATGCCACTTTAAATCTTTAAACAGAGTGAGAGTTACTTTAAACAAATATGGTCATGATTGCTCTTTTGTATGGGGTTATGAATAAAAATATGAACAGATTTTGAAAAGAGAGTCCTTGACTGATAATGTCATTTTTTCATTTCTTCTAATCATGTATATGTTTATATAAAAATTTAGTAAGAGAAGAATCAAGATATAGTTATTTACCATTGATCCCAACAACAGCAGTAAAATTATTTGGAGGATTTGTATTAATTCCTATACAGTGAGCAGCAGTCAGTAAAGCTCTTGAAGATATTATTGAAGCTGTACAAAAATGCCTGAAAAAAATAAACAAAAGTGTCATTGTTTTAATCCCCGCAAAACCATCTCTGTGCCTCTTGCTACGTCTTGGAGCCTCTGCAATTCTGTCTCCACGCCCCGCATTTTGATCTCCACTTGCTGTATTTTTGTTCACCTTTTATGGCTTATCCAACCAAAAATCTAAATATATCTATTCATAGAATAGAATCCACAATAGTTTAAAGAATCGCTTAATCCCCAAATTTCAAATATAATTTGTTCAATTAATTATAACTTGTTTTTGGTGAAAAGTTTACACAGAGTATATGATAAAAGCACAAATCAAGTGTTTTAAAACTATTTTGGTTTTGTGATTTGGTCGCATATTCGTACATAATACATTTATAAATAATATTAAATTTTTCTATCTTTTCATATATCTGCAACAGTAGTTCACAAGTTGAGGAATTTTTGAAATGTAGAAAACAAAACTTGAAAATTTAATCTCAATAACAATAGACTTTTTATCGCAAATTGTTTTTGTATAAAAAAACTAATTCATCGTGTTTGGATTATTTGAAAGTTTATGTGGTATGTAAAAGCAAAATATTTGTTATTGGAGAAGAAAATGCGGGGCGTGGAAACAAAATGTTGGAGGCTTGGAGACGTAGGGAGAGACTTGGAAACGTTTTCGCGGGGCTTGGAGATAATTCTGCACATTAGAAGGCTCCGGAGGTCGTTGCAAGTTCTTCTTTTAATTATGTTTAATTGACCTTAAAACGTGTATTAGTTGAATTAAAATCTTATTATTAAACATTAAAGCGTAAAAATTGTTGTTTGTTAGGTGAATAATATGTACTTTAAATGATTTATCTGAGCCCAACATGTTTTAGAGCAGAAATGGGTGAAGTACGGTACGCTCGCGTTTGAAGTACGGCACCATTACAACAAAATGGGGGTCGACTTAATTTCAGTTAATTTGAATATTCTCCACTATGTGGTAACTAGTTTAAATTCTAATGTTATTTTACCAACCTGCCATTGGATTGTAAAGAGGCCACCCAGGGATATCTAAAATAATAATAATATAATTTTAATCTATTCCTAACTATATATATATGAATATATTTAAAGGGATAATATATCTGGCTATTAGGAAGTTCAGTGTATATTTATTTACAGTACACATATTCTGAAGGTAGTACATTACTTCATTTTCTTTAAAACTGGAAAAAAAGTCACTTCTTGAGGCAGATGGGTCATTTCCCAATTGGTCGGAGACTCTTTCTAGAGCTGTGTGGAGAGATAAGCATCTCAAAGAATTGGAGGTCATTTATTGGAATGAAAAAAAGTATTTTTTTTACTTTTTTCTTGACATTTCTTGACATGGCATCTTTTTTTTAAACGTCTCAGTTTACTTAAGGGCACAAAAATGTTGCTAAAAAATCCCTGTCCAACAGTGTTAACCATGAAGGATGAAACTTTAATGACGACCTTAAATTCTTTAAGAAACAACGATTTGAAGATTAAAAGAGTTTCTGTCTTAAATGCAAGTCATTAGATTGAAACATTAAAGATTTTGCAAGGAATGATAGAATAAATTTTACAATTGCAGAAAGACAATGAGTTTAAAAAATGAATAAACTTTATACAGTCGTCTCTGAATTCCCTATTCTTTTTGGGTACCCCTGTACCTGTGAGATGATGTAAACTCTCCTCCTTGGATTCTGTTTGTTACCAGGGGGGGAGGGTTCTCCCTTCCACACTCATTATCACAGCTTTCTTAACAAAATCTTAAATATCCCTTAAATAATAATTCTGAAGGGTTAGACCGGCTATGTAAGGTAGTTAAACTAAGTATGCAGTGTTGTGGACAAATTCTTCAGTATTCATTTGAGACATATGAAAATTTTCCACGATGTATAATTTGAGTGCATAGTCAAAGTTCAAAATCATGAATTTGGGTAGATACGTTTTTAGAATCGGTTTTTTAAAATTATTAAATCACGACGACGAAAAATAAGGTAAAAATTATACAGTAAACTAATTAGATGGTTAGGAACATATTTCACAAAAGAAATTTGTCAATAAATCAATGCTAGAATCTATTATATCATTTTCATCATTATATTGAATTTCTTATTTTCTATGAATTTATTCGCAGATTTCAATAATAATTCCAGAAAATCTGCAGAAAATCTTTGTGAATAATGAGAAGCTAGAATAATGAGAAAATAGAAACTAATAATTGAACAAGATTACTTATTTTCGATGATAAGATTTTTATTTTCTCAATCTGTTCCTCAACAACTACTTAGTTTACTGTAGAATTTTGTTTACATTTTATGTCGTTATATAATAATTTTTTTAAAAATAATTCTGAAAACGTATTCACCCAAAAATACGATTTTGAACGTCGACTTTGCGCTCAAACTCAGGATTTACAGATCTTTAAAAAGTTTTATATGTCTCAAATGAATCCTAAAGAATTTGTCCACAATACTGCATACTCAGTTCAACTACCTTACATAGCCGGTCTGTCCCTTTAACATTTATGTAGCTCTTCTTAAATGATGTTCATGTATGCTGACTGTTCATAATTAAAACCATCAGTTTGGTCTTAGAAGTGTAATGGTCATTCTTTCACAGTAAGGTCTTCATAAGACGGCATTTTATATAAATGATTCTCTGACACTGGTTTAATCATGGAAGTTATGCTAAATTGTTGCCAATTTTAGAATAATAAAATGATACAAATGAATGGTCTATTTTGACGGAGTATAGTTCTGATGGTACATCGCAATATTACTATGTTGAGTAGTAGTATTGTTGCCATGGATTGTAGCTCTGGAAGGATTATTTGGATTGAACTGAATGGGAATGGCTCTACTCTGTGCAGAGCTAATAGTCAGAATGAATCCTATCTTACTTACACTACGATGCCTGGTTAAATTTAAATCAGTGCACTCTTTATAGGGTCACTTGAAATCACGTTTACAGTCCCTTTAAACTACTGATGTTTACAGTCCTTTTAAACTACTGATGTTTACAGTCCCTTTAAACTACTGATGTTCATAGTCCCTTTAAACTAGTGACGTTAATAGTCCCTTTAAACTACTGATGTTTACAGTCCCTTTAAACTAGTGATGTTTACAGTTCCTTTAAACTACTAATGTTTATAGTCCCTTTAAACTACTGATGTTTATAGTCCCTTTAAACTAGTGACGTTAATAGTCCCTTTAAACTAGTGATGTTTACAGTTCCTTTAAACTACTAATGTTTATAGTCCCTTTAAACTACTGATGTTTATAGTCCCTTTAAACTACCGATGTTTATAGTCCCTTTAAACTACTGATGTTTACAGTCCCTTTAAACTACTGATGTTTATAGTCCCTTTAAACTAATGATGTTTACAGTCCCTTTAAACTAGTGATGTTTACAGTCCCTTTAAACTACTGATGTTTAAAGTTCCTTTAAGCTAGTGATGTTTATAGTCCCTTTAAACTACTGATGTTTACAGTCCCTTTAAACTACTGATGTTTATAGTCCCTTTAAACTACTGATGTTTACAGTCCCTTTAAACTACTGATGTTTATAGTCCATTTAAACTTCTGACGTTTACAGTCCCTTTAAACTACTGATGTTTACAGTTCCTTTAAACTACTGATGTTTACAGTTCCTTTAAACTACTGATGTTTACAGTTCCTTTAAACTACTGATGTTTACAGTTCCTTTAAACTACTGATGTTTACAGTCCCTTTAAACTTAAACATAAAGTCATCAAGCAGTACATAAAGTCATCAAGCAGTACATAAAGTCATCAAGCAGTACATAAAGTCATCAAGCAGTACATAAAGTCATCAAGCAGTACATAAAGTCATCAAGTAGTACATTTAGTCATCAAGCAGTACATAAAGTCATCAAGCAGTAAATAAAGTCATCAAGCAGTACATAAAGTCATCAAGCAGTACATAAAGTATCAAGCAGTACATAAAGTCATCAAACAGTGCATAAACCGCTAGACCATTACATGATTAAGAAAGGATCAACCAGGTAAAAGAAATATAAAAAGAGATTTTTTAAGAAGTTGTAAATCGATGCGTGGAGACTTTGATTTAAAAGTTACCAAGGAATTGCGATAAAAATCCATAAAAAAAATTTTAATTCATAACTTAGGGATTTTTTATTTTACACTAAAAAGGTTTTAGTTTTTACTTGGCAGAATCTGACATTGAACTTTCGTTAATTTTCTTGGTTTTGGATTTTTAGCCAAACAATGCAGGCCTCCCTTATCATCTTGCATCATCTGGGAATCCTGAAAAAAGTTGAAAATACTGAAAAAAATGTTGCTTAAAATAGTTGTTTTTCTAGTTTTTTTTTTAGAAAAGGAATTTGTTTTTAAGTATAATGGAAAAACTAGACGGAATTTATTTATATCCAATAGCAATCCTAATTTTGAGTTATTGCAATTTATTGATAGCATTCTTTTAATTATAAAGGTTTCTTTGTTCATCTATTTTTTTCTTCTTCTTCTGTGGGACTTCTTTTATTTTATTGATAGAATTCTTAAACATTCCTTTTGATACCTTTTTTAACCCAAATATACCTGGCTTACTGAAATAAAGTTTAGTTGAAGGGACTGCAGAGGTAATTTTAAGTAACCCCACATTTATAGAATGGTATTTTATTTTGGGACTTTTGTTGCATTGGGCGTTTTGCAACATTGGGCGTTTTGTTGCATTGGGCGTTTTGTTGCATTGGGCGTTTTGTTGCATTGGGCGTTTTGTTGCATAGGGCGTTTTGTTGCATTGGGCGTTTTGTTGCATTGGGCGTTTTGTTGCATTGGGCGTTTTGTTGCATAGGGCGTTTTGTTACATAGGGCGTTTTGTTGCATTGGGCGTTTTGTTGCATAGGGCGTTTTGTTATTGGGCGTTTTGTACCCGCTCTGTTCGATTCAGAAAGATAACCTTTAAATCTTAATTCAAGCAAGAATGAGGTAGATATATTTGATCTGAAATTGATGTAAATTGGGACACAAAGTTACAGTGTACACTGCACCGAACAGGACATACCACTCTAATACTGGAGGTTCATTGGAAATTACGTATGCAGTCCCTTTAAAAACCTGTTTACAACCCAGGGATATTGGAGGGGATCCTGGGATAACACTGAACTGTTTCCCCCCCTGAGCTATAACTCTGTGGCTAGGACAGGTCCCAGCTGATCCATATATTCTCTGAAGGAAAGAACACAATAGTATCAGAAGGAGTCTCATTACTCCTTTGTTCACTTTCAGACTGAAATTAAATTCAAGGAATAGGAAAATGATCAATGAGTATGAGTAGGGATTGTTAAATTTAGTTTCTGAAAATGCCAAAATGTGTAAAAGGAATCAAACTTTAGCCACAAACTCTAATTTTATAATCTTACTAGCTTTCAATTGTCAATGTTGGAAATATTAAAGGTTTCCACCTTTAGGCTGCAAACATATAGAGATGATAGATTTTGGTCGCTTGCTCATGAAATACGAATCTCTGACTGTAAACAAACTCGAAGTAATAAGCAATATACTTGGTTCGTTTTTCTAGAATTTTTAAAGATTTTGAACTTGAAATTTGTCCCAAAAATATTTTAATTTTTGTTAAATTTTGAAAATCCACAAAAAAAAATAATATTAAAATAAAAGCTGGACTGGTTTATCAAAATACAAAAGTATGCAAAATTTTATCTTGCAAGAAGGTAAAGGGAAATTATTTTTTGCATATATCTTCTTTTAGGGTTAGACTTTTGCATGTAAGAAATCAAAATGTTTTGAAAGAAAACTTTTCAAAGTTGATTTTCTCATTTTTTTTACCTTTACAAAGTCCAAAAAGTTTATTGATTAAGAAAAAAACTATTTTCATCACTACATTCACTACACACCCTAATGTCCAAAAGTTCTGCTATTAAAGCTTTATTTACATTTTTCTGTTTTACATTGGCTTCCTCTATGTGCATATGAATGGATACTTGAAAAAAAGGTTTGTGAGAGAAGTGCATTATAAAACAATGCAATTCTGCAGAACAGAAGAAAATAAAATACTGGTGAGAGAATGCACCATTAGTTTAACTAATTAGATATCTATCACAATATCTATAGTTTTAAACAAACAATAGTTTCAGGTCTATTATTTATTGAATGCAGTTTTGAAATTTAAAATGAGACTTATTCTTTCGGCTTAAAAAACAAAAAATGAAGAATCCTTTTGGAATAGAGTGTCCCAGAAAACATGAGAATTAAGAAAGGACTTATGATAATTTTTCCTTTTTTCCTTGGAGTATAAAAAGTTATTAATTTTTGAAGATATTTCTCAATGAAATTTATTTTTGTTTCTCTGAAAAGGGACGGAGATATCTATAGACAAACTTAATAATTTTTAAATTGTAAAAATTACAGACCACATTTGGATTAATTATTTTTAAGTTGTAAAAATTACAGACCACATTTGGATGTTCCAAGAACAAGCTTCACACAAAATAAAGTTTTAAATGTGTTACAGTAACTTTTAAAAAAAATGAAGACGATTCGAAATTCGTCTCTTAATTCTCATTTTAATTGGAATACCCTGTAGACAGAAACTCCGCGAGCAGAATAAAAAATGTACCTTTTCTTAGAATACCGTACACTGCTGTTATTATAAGGATGAATAATTGAATATATTAAACATATAAAATGATCTGTATAAGGTGTATTGTATGTATTGTGAATGATATAAAGTTATTGTATATTGTGTAATCAATCAATATTTCTTTCAAATTCAACTGTTTTAGTGCTATGTTTATGTGATAGAATAATTTATCCTCAAAAACCAGGGGTGGAGGGTTTTTTTCCTGAACGATCTTTTAAATATTCATAACATCAAACGAAAATTAATTTTACCCTTTTAAATGAAACTAGAAATGCATAGCTAGATTTTAATTTGATAAAATAATAATGATCTTGAACAAATAACTTAATTTTGATGTTTTATGGCCTTGTGGGATGAAACATCCTGCATTTAAGATGTATTAAAATGTTGCATAGCAAAATAGCCCAAGTGGTCATTTCTTTTGACCTAAAATTATCAAAAAAAAAATCAAATCTCACAAAAATCTTTTGTGATATAAGGCTAGATATAATGTTCACAAATAAAAAATACAAAGTTCAAGATTTTGAAAATTTGGGGTAAAATTCCTTTTTTTGTTATTTTTATTATTTTAGAACTTATTCATTTTCTCGCTTAGGTTAAATTCAAGACACCTAGTATCCAGGCCGCATTTACATGGGGGTTAACTGGAATGGAAGGGGGTGGGTAGATATAGGGTAGTGATGGATTATATTTAAGCTAAGAAAGGGCAAGGATTAAATAATTCCAAGGTGTGATGAATTTTAAGAAGCATTTCACATATAGATACAAATATAACGTATATAGATAGATAGATAGAGGTAGTTGAACCATTTATTGAAAAGGGCGGATATAATATTTGTGCTTTTATCAAGCGTTAACAAACCATTTTGTTATTTTTTTTAATCGCTCAATACAAATTTAAACCAAAATTCGTTAGATATGTCATCATAAATTTGCCTCCTTCTAACAAAACGTTCGTTTACTAACGTCGTTCGATAATTCGTTGGTTTGTTAAGTGAATTTGTTAGTTCGTTTAATAAATCCGTTGGTTCCTGGTGAAATTGTACATCCAATAAAATCATTTATGCAGTTAAATCGTTCATTCGATGAAATCGCTCAATATAAATAACATTGTTCGTTTGCAATCAGAATTAGAACTATTTGACATTACAGGCGACAAGATGAATCCCCCTGAAAATTATAGTTTTTACTCCTCTGAGTGGCACTCCATGCATGTGGTCACTCGTTCTATATCATTTTAATAGATAGCAAACGAATGAAAAAAGGGTGCAGTGATCTTCAAAAAAAATGCAAACTAGCGTTTTTTCGTTTTTTTTTCTCAGAAAGAAACCTTAGTCCGTTCATCGTTCCTTATTTGAATTGAGAGTTAATTAATTTAGGAATAAAAAAAATTTAGAATAACATTTTTAAAAATGAGCAACAATTAAGATGGAAAGGAGTAGAAGGAGCACCAGCACGGAGTACGGATGTANTTGAGATGGGATGAGTAGGAGGGGGGATAGGCGATTAAGATTTGTAATATGATAAGGGTAATTTCAAGAAGAAAATATATCAAAAGGAAATCGTACTGTAGATAGAATTGAACATTTAAGATATAAAACATTACAAGCCGATGTTAAATATCTATATTAAGGGATTGTTCAGAATAAAAAAGATGAGGATAACGTGGCATTTAACTTTAAAGATACCAGATTCACAACGGTACACACCAAAGCTTTGTCTGGCCAATAATAAATAAGGTTTTACATGCTTTTCTCTTTGAAAATTAATCATTTTCAACTGGAGGGTTCTATAAAAATGCCCCTTGCTAATTTTTAGAATTAAAACTTTTCAAACGAGAAAACATAAAAAGGTCTGTTCCTCGGTCCATTGTGAAATTGGCTCTCTTTAAATCGAGGATCATTTAAATCACAATAAAATTAATGATCATTAAAAAGGCGATTTCAAATGTTTCAATTCATTTTGCGGATGTCTAAGTTTTTAATGAGGTAATTATTTATTTTGAGAAGAAAATTTTTTTGAGAATTCCTTTTTTTTGCAACAATATTATGATATATGATTATCTATTGACAATTTTGTCCAATTTGTAAAATTTCATATGAACACAAATCTAAATAGATTGTTTTATGAGTATTATTGAATACGCAGAAAACTTCCTTCTATTTTACGCAAAGCAAATTAAGGGAGTTTAAAATAGAATGTTTTAAATTAGAAATTCAACTCAGCCTAAAACGTTCCTGACGTATGAATGTAAATAATATCGATAATATTGTCGAAAGACAAAATTTCTTAATATTTTTCTCATTTTATCTTATATACTTTCTTTCTTTTTTTGAAAAAAACATGTCAACAAATCAAAACAATTGTGTTAGTTTGATATTCAATATTAAACAATACAAACCCCAACAAGTTTTCTGTTATTTTTGTCAAAACTTTTAATCTTATTATGTTTAGCGGGTTAAAAAGTTTTTAACTTTTAAGGAAAAGATAAAAGTGGGCAGAAGAAGATATGGAGGGGGGCTGGGAAAGGGAAAAGGGGAAAAGGGTAGGGGGGAGTAGGAAGTAGGAAAGGGAAGGGGGAAGTAGGAAGCAGGAAAGGGAAGGGGATGTAGGAATTCGGAAATGGAAGGGGGAAGTAGGAAGAAGGAAAGGGTAAGGGGAAGTAGGAAGTAGGAAAGGGAAGGGGGAAGTAGGAAGAGGGGGAGGAAAGGGAAAAGGCCGCAGATGGAAAGAGGGAAAGGTAGGAAGAGGGAAAGGTAGGAAGAGGGAAAAGTAGGAAGAGGGAAAGGTAGGAGGAGGGAAAGGTAGAAAGAGAGAAAGGTAGGAAGAGGGAAAGGTAGGAAGAGAGAAACGGGGGAAGAATAGGATTAAAATATGCAAAAAAATTTGTTAATGTCGAGATAAGAAGAGTGTTAATATCAGGGTATGCGAAATTCAATCTGCTAAATTCAGTAACCTCAGTCATAATTCACACACAACTCTCACAAACAAACACTCCCTAGCTCACACACTCTCAAACATACATATTACATTAAATTTGATATTATACTGTAAATAGTTTGCCTTAAAAGTAGAAGGACAAAAGACAAGAGTACAAGAATTTGAAAACAAGAGAACTATACTTTACAAAGACAAGAGTGGGATCATCTGAAAACAAGAAAACAAGAGTGGGATCATCTGAAAACAAGAAAACAAGAGTGGGATCATCTGAAAACAAGAAAACAAGAGTGGGATCATCTGAAAACAAGAAAACAAGAGTGGGATCATCTGAAAACAAGAAAACAAGAGTGGGATCATCTGAAAACAAGAAAAGCCAAGAGTGGAATCATCTGAAAACAAGAAAAACAAGAGTGGGATCATCTGAAAACAAGAAAACAAGAACTGGATCATCTGAAAACAACAAAAACAAGAACTGGATCATCTGAAAACAAGAAAAACAAGAGTATGATCATCTGAAAACAAGAAGATTCTGTCAATAAAAAGAAGAATATGATTGTCTTAAGAATATTTTGTTTTGTTCTAGACTCTCTGGGGACCCTAGAATCATTGTTGCTACAATCAAACAACTACAGAACAACTTTATATAGAGGATTAATCCTTATATCATCAACACACTGATAGGATAAAAGGTAG